CAAAAGAAACAACAAGAGGGTGCACACCTCAGCTCCACTGCAACTACTGTACAGAGATTGCAACCAACCTAGTCTCACACCAACAGAAGTACGTGAGTACATCAAATCAAGCCAACTATAGATACAACGACGGACAACTACAAGTCCTGTCACAGCCTGCTCACAGGAGTGTAAGAGCAGTGACAGAACCAACACTTGTCCTGCCACAGCCATCTCACAGGAGTGTAAGAGCAGTGGCATCACCAACCAAAGGATCTACCGACTACATCACCATCGAACCATCATCGACCATGACACGTCCAGGTCCAGTGGAGCCCATCAAGTTGGAGCCTCCACAACTACTACCGAATACTTCCTTACAAGTTTCCAAACTTCCAAGGGCTTCTAGCCCCAACTCAAAGCATCATTGTGGCAAGGAACTCCCTCCTAGTTCCGGCTACTACAACAGTTCTCCCAAGTGTCGCTATGGCCTGACTTCCCAGTCTCAGCTACGGCAACACCAAATGACGGTACCAAGTGTACCAAGTGACGGCACCAGTCACCACAAGTGACGACACCAGCAGTCACGAGTCTCACATGAGTATAAACCACCATGACAAGAGGAAACAATAACTCAACCATTTCCTCATTCCATCTTCAGACATCGAGACCATCCAAGAACTGGGTTCAGTCGAACCCAACAAGTCCGTGACTTCCAAGCTACATCATTTCCAGCTTCCATGCACCTTCCAATAGGGCATCACTTCCCACAAGTCTACGACTTCCAGAAGCTTCAACCAGCTTCCATCTACGAAGGGCTTCCAGCCCCATCAAGTGTCAATGTAGCCGGACTTCCCAGTCTGAGCCGCAGGTACACCAAGTGACGGTATCATCCGACACCAGTCTTCCAGGAGTGGCACCACTCCCAGCAGGAGTGCCAGCCACAAAGACTTTTCTGACGATGACATTTTCCGTATTGTCTCGTCTACACCCGCTCAGCTTCTCGTTACCAAGCGGGATGCCGAGCAACCACTTCCAAGGTTTGTTTTGGACTCATTGCAAGCCAGTCGGCACGACGACGTGAGACTTGGATTACACAGCCTTCCCAAGGCAGGAGTCTGCTTACCAAAGCACAGATAGACACATTGAGTGCTATCGATTCTCAGGAATCTTAGAGGACCACACCTCTAGCTCCATAGCAACCCCAAGGTGGATCCAATGTCCAAACCAACCAAGCCAGCTTTGGCTACAACAAGTACAAGTCCTGCCACAGCTAGCTCACAGGAGTGTGCCAACAGTGACAGCAGGAGTGGTAAAGTTGTACCCACCAAAACCAAAGTCTCAAACCTTTTTCAACCTTCCTTTGAATTCTCCGATCGATCTATCCAGATTGACACACCAGATCGACTGACAAGAAACGATCATGCCAGATCGAATGACACGAAGCGATCGAATCACAAGCAGCAACCACGAGATCGATTCAGTTTGACTCTCGGGATCGACTCAGAAGATCCAACATGAGATTGCAAGTGCGACCAAGCAAAGCCTATCGAGGCAAAGCCTATCAAGGCAGAGCAAGCTTACTCAAGCAAGGGTAGACACATCAGTGCTACCGGGATATCTTCTGCAGAGGATTCCCACAGTTCCACAGGAACAGTTCCACCATGGAACCAGCTCAAAGCAAGCAACAGTTCGACGGAACGCCACAAGTTGCCAGCACCCATCTACAAGAGGTGCAAACCAAGGTCCACATCAAGCAAGCACACATTCATGTACAACAAGTCACAGCCATTCGATTCCAAAGAAGAGGAGGCCGTGATGAAGGAAGAAGCTTCCCCAGCTGGGAAGAAGAGGATTCCATTCCTCTGGAAAAGACAACAGCAGGACATCCAAGACTTCTTGGACATCCAACAAGAAGAGACAGCTCACGTTCCATTCCAATGGACAACGCACAAGCTGACTCCAGATAGCTACCAAGCTATTGCACAGACTCATGCTCACCTGATTTCCAAATCCAGTATCAAGCCTGAATGGATTGATGTTTCCACACATCATTGACGATTGAGACCATGGCATATCGATGTCCAGTTCAGTCTACACCGCCAGTCAAGAGCACAGTTTGAGTCTACGAGAATGCAGCCGGAACTTCCTAGTTTCCAGCTACAGCAATACCAAGTGACCGGAACTTCCCAGTCCACGGTTCAACAAGTGATCGGAACTTCCCAGTTTCGAATACAGCAACATCAAGTGACGGTACCAACCGCCACAGCAAATCATACAGGAGTGGCAACACTCACAGGAGTGATGGCCACAGTGGCTTTTCATGACGACACTGTCCACATGTCCACATTGACTGTGACAGATTTGTCAGCACTGCTATGGATGACAAGCTTCTCGCCACCAAGCGGAATGCCGAGCAACCTAGCAATTGGTCTCTCATGACCAACAACTGTTCCTTATGGAGCAACCATCATTACATTAATTATTCGTTCCACGGTATCCTTTATGGAACCGTGCAGGAGTGTGTTGGAGGTTGTATTACAGACACCTCAATACAAATTAGTCGTTTATCCCAATCTAGTTTAGAGGGGATATCTATATCTATTCTCTAGTTACATACATGGGGAGTTTAACTGATCTATATGGTCACCCCCTTCACTATATCCTTTGAAGTTGAATCAATCCCAGAAATACATGGAGAAAGATCACTTCTTGGAAATAGCTTAACAGTAAAACAGTATTTTACCTTTACTAAGCTAGAGTGTTACTAGCAACCAACACAGGATGCCCATCATGCAACAACCCTTCAGAAACAAGACACCATCTGATGGAATGCAGCAGCCCTGAAAGAATCAAATGGCGCGAGAAATGCTACAGTGCAGTCCTAGCATATGTCCAGAAAAAGGACACCTCTCCAAAAATCCAGGGGCTTCTCCTATCAGGCCTCAAAGTATGTTTACATCACCAAAACCCAACAACAATCCAAGAAGATCCTTCATGGGACACACTGAAACAAGCACAAGATGCCATTGGATGGCATCATCTGTTAAAGGGAGAATCTCTAAACAATTCATCAGGAACAAGACCGATATTTGAACATGAAAAAGACCGCAACCAAAACGCAACAATGGACTCACATGGCTCACTGGACTCATTGACATTATCTATAAAGAATGGTGGAAACTCTGGGACATGCGCAACCAAGACAGACATGGGCACGACATGAGAACCAAGTCACAAGCAAAGAAAGCACAGCAATCCGACAACTCACTCATTCTACGAAGCATACCAGCAGAAGTCCCGAACATTTGGAATGGCTATTCCAGATACCACTCGAATCGCGCATGCACTGAATACACCAGTCATCATTCAATTTTTGAACACATGGGAACCTGTGTTACAAGAGAGTCACTACACCACAGCCCTGGAAACAGGATAGTCGGACATTCCTACCATCCCTTTTTCCTTACCCCTCCTACCCCCTCAAACTTCTTTACCAACCCCAACTCTCTTCAACAAAGAGCTCGTGATTTGTGGTGTGGTGAATCATGGCTCCGACCTCAGTGTACAAATCCTTAGATAGCTAACAGGCGTCGCACCCTCTCAGGAGGCCAATGTGGCCGGTGAGCAGACTTGACTGTGGGAAATACCCGAGCCTTAGCTCGTGGGTAGTCCTCAAGCACATCTCGTCTGAATCCGTTATTAGACATTCAGTTTTTTTTTTTTACATGTACGGGTTCGACGTCTTTTGAGAACAAGTCATCCAAAAATGCTTCGAGGTTGTCCCGGCCAACTTCATCGGAGTAAGCTTCTGGTTTTCCATGGAGACAATTGCCGTTTTTCGCGTTCGTTGGAGGAGGCGAATTCATAGCGGCAATATTCTTCTTGCCCGTGGCCACCGAATGCTTCTTCCACCAAAGTCCACCAAAAAGAAACCCCGTCAACGTTGTGTTGGCGTTGTCATTTTTTTCGGACAAAGGCTTCTTCTGTTCGCCTCCCTTCTTCTTCTTCTTGACAAAAAGGCGGTTCATCATTATGTCAAAGCTCTAGAGCCTCGCTCCCAGTGGCGCACGAGACGAGAGAGTGTGGTGTGTGGGTCTTTGACTGACTCTGCTTTCGTCTCTCTCTTCTGAAGAAGTGATTGATTTTGATTCGGGTTTACTATGGATTAGAGAGAGCTAAGATGAGGATGGAGACAGAGGTCAAGGGGAGGGCACGACGCAGGAACGCAAGGCAGGCAATCAAGTGCGCAAGCAGGGCAATATGGAAACCAAGGAAAGGGGTGAAGGCAGGAGGGCAGGGAGGAGCAAAGGAGCAAGACTAGCGGAAGAGATCGAGGGCACCACAGTCATCCCAACGCTTGGAAACCTTGAGAGCTGAGACATGGGAGCCTCTCAAACACAATGTCGTGGCACGGGCAAGAGCTATGCTCAACCTGGCCGAGATGAAAGAGCGAACCACAGAGTAGGGCTTGGACCACTTGTGAGCCAAAAGCTGGGAGAGCCGTTGGAGAACAGCAGTAGCTTCAGCAGCAAAGAGGCCATCAGCAGAAACAACAAAGGGGGTGAAGTGGCGGCGTTGTGCAGTGCACTGAGCCTGGTACTTCGTCTTCTTCTGCCTCTCCCGCTGAGAAAGATGATTTGATAACTTCGCAATGCACACTTATAATGCAGCAGAGCCGTCCAGGAATGATCAATCGTTCTTTTGGAGGGTCAGTTCTCGCTACGCTGTACCTACCGTTACCGCTACCGGTACCGGTACCAGGTACCGTATACCGGTATCAAGCCATAGTAACCAATACATATCCAATGACGAAAACCACGAAAGGGGCCTAGCTAGATATTATAGTAGTAGGGAAGACCTTCTAGTTAGCTAGCTAGATCAGTCACAGTGAAGCCACCCACCTGACACGCCATCCTGAAGTACAATAGATGGTTGTTCAACAGATCTGCAACATCAGACAACTTTTCGTTACAAGGCTGTTTGACGGACTGCATCCTGTGTGTTGTTCATTTTCATCTTCAATCAATGATACCCATGGATGCTTGGCGTTGAAACCAGCGCTGGTTTGCCTCTTCCATATTGATCCTTCCACGGAATACCTTGCACTGAATTTGATGCCGTGGCCAGTCAGCAAGCTGGCATTCTTCACTGCAATATTCGCACATGAGACACTTTGGGCACCACATTGTGTTGGCAATCTCCACACAGCAGGTAGCACATGTGCGCATTTCAGGCTCTTCCGGGACTTGTCTTTTGATGCATGCCAAACATTTGCATGGAATCTTCTTATCTGTGTAGATGACCATATCACGAATGCTTTCACAGTGTTTGACAAAGTGCCAACGCACATGGCTCATTCTATCTCGTACCTGCTCTCGCTCCTCAGGTGGCAGCCCAAGGATGGAGTGTCCCTTCTCGAGAAAGATGGCCGACCGAAGCAGCGTCTGAACAAGATTCCATTTGTCATTGACATTGACGTCAGAGCTCCTTTCCAGCATAGCGTTGGCTGCAGCTCCATAGAGATACCGTGCAGTGTGTGGGTGACTCAAAACCGTAGGGTGGGTGATTTGAAGCTTTCGCATAAGCCCAAGGATATTATCGCAGAAATCTTCCGAGTCATCCAGAAAATCCTCCACAAAGGAACCAAAATCATTCATACCCACATCCTCGGTAAAATCGGCTGGTATTCCATGGCGGCAGATGCACTGGCAGGGTTGTGTTTCTGCGTTGGAAGGGAAAGGCGGGTGGCTGGGCGTCTCGTCAACAAGGACTTGAGGTGTTGTTGGTGTGCCAGTGGGGCTTCTAGTCTTTTCATTGGTGGTACAGTAGTACTTGAGGATGAACGCTTATTGTTCTTCTTCCTTCCTCCCTTCTTCTTGTTGCCACGACGGTTCTTCATGGTGTCTTCAGTCTACTTCCTCTATCGACGGTGTGTGATTGCTCCTTTGATGCAGACTACCAATCCTTCACAGGACAACAGAAGTATTTTATGGCCTTGCAAGAGGAACAGAGCCTAGTAGGATACAGCTACACGAAAGGATTACAGTACTAGTAGGTGCTTGGAGTCTACAGCTCAAGAAAAGCCGGAGAGAGTGTTCTACAGTTCGTTCGAGGCTTCACAAGCCGTCATTGGCGGGCGGAATGTAAGTTGTGATAAAGCAGCAGGGCAGCGAAAAGAGAATAGGTGTAGGCGTACCATCACATCCAAAGTTTCATATGGACTCCTGCCGCATATTCCTTCTCTGGCAACGAGGAGTGTTTGTCGAAGGCTGGCAGCTTACTTGCAGACAGAACTTTGTAGTCAGCCGTATTTGCACCCAGAGCAGCTACGGTATAGTAGATTGCAAGTCCGGGGCAAGCCAGGAGGACCATTAATTTCATCACTGGCGATACCGAGAAATGGCTTTCTTGTTCTTTCGGATCTCGTCTCTGCAGGAGTTGCCTGCCCCACCCAGGGATTCTCCCGTTTTGCTCCAGGAGGCATCGCCAGACCAGTAGGGAATGGCAAAACAGTCTCCATCGCCTTGATAATTGTCGCATTCTCCTGATGTACAAGGATAAGCCATCACGGTGCGGAAGGTCCCGGACGGAGAGCGAAATCCGTAAAATTTGTTCTTATGAGCCGGATCGCAGTCATCTTGCGTTCCTCTGTCATGGGCGCATCCCTGTAACGTCAAGTCGGTTGGTTAGTTAGAGGTCCACCGTGGCAAAAAGTACAAGGCAAGTGCCAGAAGCTCAACCGAAAAGATTGAGCTCACCAAGGTATGACCCCATTCATGCGCGGGGACAAAGTCCTGATCAAACATCCTCTGAGAAGAGAAAACCGTATAGCCGAGGCACGGCAAAGGAGTTGCGGGGAAAGGCCATCCGAGATTGACGCCCAGGGCCATTCCACCAAGACCTTCAGCATCCAACCGAATATCAATCGCAAAAGACACAAAATCAGCCTTGTGGATGTGTCTGAGATTCTGGATGTAGCGAAGTTCCGGATTTGCCAGTGGTAACGCAAGATCTGTAAGCGTTTGGGAGGATGTCGTTTCACGGTATCCCGATGAGTCTCGCTGCATATGCACCAACGAAAAGGTAACACCCGTGTCCGAGTTTCTGTGTATGACATTGGTGTCCAAAATGACAGCTTGCACCCCACCTTCCATATTGGCCCTGGTTCTCGATGACAAATTACAATCGACGCCCAGTAGGGACCTTGCACATTCACAGTTCTCACTCCAGATAACCATGACATCAATCACGACATCTTCATATTTGCTTCCTCTCATCCAGGAAGATAACGAATCCATTTGTGCCTCCCATTGCGCTCGAAGATATTGTTGCATCAAGGACCAAGAACTCTCGGACTGAGAGAGTTGCTGCCATGAAAGCTGCAGTGGCTCCCCCAACGGAAGGCCATCCTCTGCCACGGTTCGGCCAAATTCTGCCCTCACGGTATCGCGTCCCTGCGAATCTGGTCGGATCTAGTACCACCGATTGTTACCAATGTCGTGACATCTGCCGTTCAACACCGAATAGTCTGTGGTCTCGCTAATGTACCGGAACAAGTCGCAAAAGACCATGCCATCATTGGACTCTCCCACAAAGTGCGTGTCTGTTGTGCGCGTGTTGAGAATCGTCCAGACCGGTAAGGTGGTATACAACTGAATCTCCAGAGTATGAAAGTCATAAAAGTCAAATCCCTCTCCAAGGCCGGATGCGTCGATCCTCCCAAGGCTGATTGGCGCAATGTTGAGACCATTGGCCGTGGATGACACAAGAAATACAAGTAGTGCTGCTACCACTGGTATCCTCATTATTGTTTGTCGTGCATCGTCAGTTTGGAAGTTGACGAGATGGAGGAGGTGCGATGATGATCCAACGGTCAAACCCTCCACTCGCGAACATCACAATCTGACTTCGAACGTAATGATGTGAGGATCTCACTCTCGTCCTGCGCCGGATCTTTCCTTTCGATCTTCATTCACACTTTGGTCCTCCGATACCTGCAACTGTACATGGTGGTACCTGGTACCGGTCGTGCCGTACCGGTAGCGGTAGCACCAACATTCTTGGCCATCTATGCACGGAAGCTATCAGACGGGCGTCTTGCATGCTCTAAAAATGTGCCAGGTCCAAGCACATATGTACGTGGCTCTTTTTATGATCTGAAGCATTGTATTGGATGAGAACAGCCACCCAGCTCAGCTCAACCCAGCAGTTTCTGTTTTGGTCGAAAGCCAAGGCGGGCATGACGATGCAGCGTTTCTGGTTGGATGATTGCGAGAGCTATTGGGAGAGCGCGGCAGAAGATGGAGATTTAGCCAGGCCAATAGTAGCAGTGGGATTCATTCAAAAGGGAGCACTCCTCTGGGGTACTATTTGGCTTTCTCTGATCCAAAGTAGTCCTTTTGTAACGGCTTTCGCTTCCTGGTTGCATTACTATGGTGGTAGCAATCCCGCCGACGGGCGGGGTACAGTGTACGAGGGATGGAAAATACGTTCAAGTTTCTACTACAGTACCTACAATCGTCTTGGCTTTCGTTCTGGTGCCGTACCGGTACCGGTACGTCCAAAGTCCACATATATCAAGGGTTCATAGATAGATAGGTGTCATTGCATTTGGTTTGTCCCGCAATGGCAGTGTTGTTGGCAGCCTTGCTACCTGTCAGGTTACGGTGGCGTCTCCCAAATTTCTGCCCCACAAAATGAACTCTCTCCCTCTCTAAGCAGTGTTGTTGTTTTTGTTGTTGCCGTTGCTGTCAGTCCCAGTAGTTGACATTTTGTCATGGATCTGCGCGAGCAAATCACCAGCAGCGATTTTTCCACTGAAGAACTTGCAAAGTGGCTGATGTTCTGGCCAGCTTGCAAGTTGGCATTCTTTAGAGCAGTACTCTGCAGCAAGGCAATCTTCACACCACATGGGGTTGAGTGAATCCTTCTTGCAGTTATTACACACACGGATTTCCGAGTGTTCCAGTATTTCCTGTTTCAACACTGCCAAGCAGTTGCATGGAATCTTCTTGTCAATGTACATGACCACATCACGCAAGCTTTTAGCATGTTTGACAAAACACCAATTCAAACGAGTCATTTCATGTATGTGTTCTTCCTCTGACATGGGAACAGAAAATTTGCATTTGTCAATGAGAACTGCTGCACGGAAAGTCTTGAAGGGTTTCTCATCCAACGGTGCTAGTAAAAATGAATCTTGGTTCTCACGTCGGAGGTAACTGGCTGCAAGGCCATAAAAAAATTGGGCTGCGTCTGGGTGTTCCATCACAGTGTGGTAGACCGGTGATAGCTTCCGCATTGCTGTCAATCCATTGTTCATGTTGTCTGTGCTTGCGAACCATTCTTCCAAGAAAGCATCTAGCATGTCCTTGCCCACGTCATCAACATATCCCTCTGGAATTCCATGGCGGCACCGGGTGGGATTCATCTTACAGATAGATGTGTGCCGTTGGAGGGTTTGTTTCGTGCTTTGGAGAAGTGCTTGCTGCCGACGCTTGCTGTTTCTCCTTCTTCTTCTTTTTGCCACCCTTCTTCTTTGCGCTACGGCGATTCTTCATCTTGACCAAAAGATACTGTCACTTTAGCAGAACAAGCAAGCTACCGGTAGTTAGATAGTACCCAAGACAATCCAAGAGACAGCACGAAGAGACCTCCTATCGCGAGACGTTGGCCCAATCTATGATTGCTCTCAGCATTTTCCCTAATTGAAAAGTCGGTCCGGGTCCCGCTATACCAGTACTCCCTGACACTTTGGGGGACGGCCAACCTTTTCAGTTTGGCTTTTCTACCGGCATGCATCTTTGGAGTGCCAAACTATCCCAGTCTGAGCAGGTCCAGCGGCAACATACATGAGAGGAAAGCATGTTGATGGTGGAGGTTTCTTGCTTGTCAAACATTCTGGAAGTAAGTGTTTGAGATGTGGCTGATCATCTATCTATGCTATAGACGCAGGCAGACAAGACGACTGACACCGTGCCGGAACTGCTTGGCGGACAATTATTGGTGCTACGACTGTACGGTATGGACAGAACAGCCCGAAACAAGAGCGAATAAATGGGCTGAAGAATGACACTTATGGCATCTATAGAAGCAAGTTCGCAACAGTTTCTATTTATCAAGGCAGGCACTACTGTTCCACTCTGTGCACGGTATGGAGGGTGTCGAAGCAAGATGAAAATCTACAAATGAATGAATCAATGAGCCTCTGTAGATAAACTTCCCTACCATAGTCTAACTAAACTACCTTAGTCTGCATCCTATAATCCTCAACGCATACTAGATCTAGTACTATTATAGAATGTTTTGGTTTGCCCCCCTTGGCTTCAAGGCACCGCTCTCCGTCCGTGGTTCTACCACCCTAAAAGCGTTTTCACACGTCCTCCACCAGTTAGTCTAGTTCCAGAAATCTTTGGATCTTTCAAGAAGACAGCAGAGATGAATTTATTCAACGGTTGTCTTCACGGGGTCAAAGAAGAGAGGAGTTGACACAATTAATTATTGTACAAGGAGCGAGACCCCATCACTTACTTGTTCGGTTGCAGTCTTTGATGATCTCCGTGTCATTGCCAGTGCTTGGAGTGTTCATTGTTCTTGCATTACACCCTGCTAGCAGCCTGTCCTTGACTCCTACTACTAGTTTCGTCGCAAAGAGACGATCCCATCCAGTATTGTACAACAGTCGCTTTGACATCAATATGGAAGATCCCGACAATGTCCCACCCGCCGACGATGTCCTGATGCGCGAAGCCACGCCGTCGCCCATTACTACTACTACCAATAACAACAACAAACCCCCCACCAAAAAAGCCAAAACGACAGAAATTAGTTTCTTGACGGGCAAAGAAGGTGTTTGTCGGATTGAAGTGGCCCGTGTGGAATGGCTGACCACGGCACCGTGGCAACGCACGACGCAAACCAAATCGAGTGGCACCGGCTTTTGCATTCGCGATGAATTGCTCTTGACCAATGCCCATGTCGTCAAGAGTGCCGTCGATATTCGGGTTCGGAAACACGGGAGTACGCGTCGGTATGCCGCGCGGGTCGCTGTGTATGCCCCGGATGTGGATTTGGCATTGTTGGAAATCAAAGGTGCCGATGAAAAGAAAGAATTCTTTGGGACACACGACGATTTGGCACTGGAATTGGCAAAAGAGCTTCCGGCATTGCAAGAAAGTGTGCACGTCGTTGGGTTCCCCACGGGTGGAACGACGATTTGTATTACCGAAGGAGTCGTCAGTCGCATTGATTTGGTCTCGGCATCGGCATTCAACAATTTACTCGCCATTCAAATTGATGCCGCTATTAATCCAGGCAATAGTGGAGGACCCGCCTTTGACAAACAGGGTAAAGTCACGGGTGTGGCATTCTTCAAGAATACGTCCAAAAAGACAGGTAAGCAAAATGATACACTGAATAAACATACATGACAGCATGCCACTCACTCACATCACACATCACATCAACAACAACAATATCATCAAGACAATGTCGGATATCTGATTCCCTCTTCGGTAGTAGAAACATTCCTGGGTCGCTGTCAATTGGATCGCGACGAACAAACCAGTCTCTACACACTCTCCCCATCCGTCCCGTACGATTGGCATCCCCTCGAAAATGCCAGTTTGCGGTTGGCTCATAAAGTACCCAGCTCGATTCACGGCGTGCTACTCACGAGTGTCTCCAATACACTCGAGGGCATTTTAAAAGTGGGCGATGTTCTCACACATGTCGATGGAAAAGCGATTGCCGATGATGGACAAGTGGTACTGCGACGAGATGAACTCATTCAACACCGGTACCTCCTAAGGGGCAAACGCGTCGATGAACCGACAATCTTCACGGTCTTTCGGGATGGACAAGACAATCAACAGTGTCCCCCGTCTGTGTTGCGGAATATACCCAGTATTTGTCTGCGATGGATTGATGTCGATTATCCACCGGATTATCTCATTCTCGGTGCACTCGTGTTGTTACCCATGTCGTGGGCGTTGCGATCGCACAAACGATGCGGTACTCGATTGATTGGGGATTGTATTGATTGGTGTCAAAAATGGCCGCAAGATTGGGAGGGCAAGACGGGGTTGGTCGTATTGGTGGATATACTGGCACATGAACTCACATTTAGTTATAGTCGACCTTGGAGACGTGTCACGGCATACAATGGGACACCGGTCTTGTCCATGGAGCATTTGAGAGATTTGTGGCAACAGTCCTGTCAGGATTCCAAGGCGGCTGTCGAAGCGGGCAATACGGAACCGACATTTGCGCGAATTCAATTGCAGAGTGATGACGATATTGTACTGGAAGTGCAGTCTGCCATGGCGGCCGAGTCGGAAGTGTTGGCACGGCATCAAATCCCCACCGCGTCGCATATCAGTCCACCCAATCCCAATTACAAATAACTATTCATATGGAGTGGATGGGGCAAATGGTGGGAATTGAAAACAGAAGAAAGAAATAAGACGACAATGTTGGGAATTGAAACAGAAGAAATAAGACGACAATCCATGCATGCAGACTAGCAAGCTTCGATTCAAACAAACAGCAGCGCAAAAGACGAGTAACAACTCGCATGTTCATATATTATTACTACAGTAGAGGAGTAGAACTATGTATAATATAAGAGTACAAATATTTGGTCTTGGCCCTTTGCAATATTGACTGTTCCTCCAATGTCACATGAAAAACCTTGGTCTCTTTCCATTGGTCTCTTTCCACCGCACTTCAGGCTATACATACATGAGCACCTTCGTCTCTTTTCCACCGCGCGTGGCGACATTTGAGTTGGCGAATGGTACAGTGCTGATACTCGCAGACCCTTCACGATTATACCGGTTGTAACAAACTAAAAGAACACACACGTCGATCGTGACAACAAATCTAGCTAGATATCTATAGTATCATACTATCATTACATCATGACCCCAAACATGGACGCCACTTGGGCTCCCACCGATGCCGGTTCTAATTGTTCATCGCTCAATCCATGTTCTGCCCGTGCCATGGCCATGGCATCCTTGGTATCGTGTCCCTCTTGGCGCAATTCCTTGAATCGTTTCGATACGAGTTTGTGCACTTGTTTGGGATTCTGTTGTTTTGGCAAGTGTTGTTGTTGCTGTTCGAGTTGTTTTTGTCGCGTTTCGGCACTGGCCCGCCACACCGCTTCCTTTTCCCGTTCCTTGTGATATCGGACGCAATAGTTGTGGCTCTTTTGATGCCATTGACGCCAGAGATCCGTCAAGGTATCCCCTGTGCGGGCTTTCTTTGCGCTGCCGCCATTGGCTGGTTTGGAATCTTCCCACGGTTTGGGGTATCCCGAGTAATGCAATACTTTGAGATCGGGTGCTACAGCAATATCCCAGTAATTGAAATGTCCCTGGGGATAAGTCATGTCGTAAAGTGCGCGTTGGGCATTGTACGTAAAGGGCAATCTCGCTAACGGCGCCATTTGGGTGAACCATTCGGAATAGTAGGCATTCAAGAATCCCGTATCGTTGTTGGCGTAATTGGTGAGCAATGACTTTTGTGCCATCATATTGTCAAAGGTCTCTGAATTGGGTCGAATGACCATGACACCACTGTTGAACTTGTCGGGTGGAAACAAGTCGGGTGCAGCCGCCACCAATGCTTCCGATTCGGTATAGACTTTTCCCTTTTGTATGAGGGGATAGAGGTCGTCCAAGACGAGACAGTCGGGTTCCAAAAAGACAATGGTATCGTAGACGACCAACGAGAACGCGTGTAATTTGGTCAAGCCGGGACAATCATTGTCAAAGGGAGTACTGTTCTGGTTGGTCCCAATCGATTTGTTGATGCCTCCTTGCGGTAGTCCAATCACGGACACTTCGGTAATGCGGGTACACAATGCGGGCCAAAGTGCTCGTCGTGTCTCGGGAGACACTTCGGGAGTGACCAATACCACCAATTCAGGAGGATATGGGACATTCTTGCGCAGATTCTTTTGCACCGAATACAGCAGCGTCTGGGCGCCTATGCAAATCATATTCGGATAGTACCATACCAGTACAGACCGTGGGCGTGAGATCGTTTTCAAAATGGCTGCATGGCTACCCATCTACTGTATGAAACAGAGTAGAACGCAACGCAACGTACCTGGAAGATAATCATCCGACGCTACCAGCGTGATAATGGCATCGGCTCTGAAGAGGAAATGAAATGAAAGGGTGGATGGAAGGTGGTGAGTGAGACACATTGGGTATCCTCGAATCGTATCGTATCGTGGATTGCTGTCTCTTGTCGCAGCATGCTGTTACTTACCGTGGCGGAAACTGTGCCACAACTTGCACCAGCACTGGATCTACTACTACTTCTGATATTTCTACCATGTTATACTGTATTAGTATTCTACCTAGTAGCAACAACAGCTAGCAAGGGGTGTCTTCTTGTACGATACTTGCTTCGCGCAAAGTGAAAGCGACCAAAGATCCTCTTTTTAGATATCAAATGACGTCATAAATTTGACTTATCTCATTCGAGTCACGTTCGAAATGTTGTCACGTGGCAGTGAGAACTCCAGTTCATGTACATGTATTCAGTTCGTGTATTCAGTAGTGTACCGGTACAGCGTGGGGGCAAGGCACAGAAACTTAAAAACATTGATTGAAAGAAAGCATCAAAATCATTCAACCAAACCGACAAGTCATTGCTCCCCATGCAATCACCATGAAACGTAGCAGTGAAAAACCTCCTAGAAGCCCCAGTTCCACCGCCGGAAGTACGGATACCAAAGCGACTTTTTCTTGTGCGGAACTAAAGGGTGCCGGCAACTCTTCTTTGCTCCTACGGGGCGACGGACGAGAGGAAAAAGGACTCGGGCTCATTTCTACTCCCTTCCGCGAAGGCACCCACCGTGTCAAAAATCCAAAAGACTTTTTACCAGTCATTGACCAACTCGAGAAAGCTGCATGAAAGGGGATTTGTCCATGGAGACATTCGTGGATTCAATATTGTCTTTGGAAAAAAACCTGGACAGGCTTGGTTGATTGATTTGATTTCGGAGGGAAAGTTGGTGAAGCGACATATCCAGTGGGATACAAAGACCTACTTGCTGATGGGTCAAGATTCACTGTTTAAAAGGGAAGGGAGTTGATAGAGAAGTCCCATGATTGGATTGCCCTTGTGCGCTACATTTTTGAATGTAACTCTCCTGAGTCGGATAATGCAGACATGATGCTAGAAGGCCGGATGAATCTTTTGAGAAAACGAGCGCATCGTGAAGACGGCGTGGTGGACTTGCATGAGCTGAAAACGCAGCTGAAAACGCAGCTTTTGGATCTAGATAAAGGTGGGTATTGTGTCAAACCCAGCGAAAAGTTGAGAATGCCATTAAAAGGAACTGGAGGGAGACGGAACGAAAGCTGCTGTAGCGATCTTACATGTAGTCCTTTCGATGATCATTCGATTCATCCATACAGTATGTCAGACCGGTACCGTACCTGGTACACACTTTACATTGAACACAGATTGAAGAGGGGGGGCGGCTGAAACGGATGCTGGAATTACTTCAAGGCCTCCATATCTCTTTCAACTCGGTGGTTAAATAGAGCATCTGCATGCAGCCTTGCACCCCCACTGTCTCTTTTCTTCACCATCGTCGTCACCAGACACTACGGTACAATACAAACTACCGGTATTAATACTAGTACCAATGCATATAGTACGGTTTGCTAACCGGTGGTCACGAAGTGGCTGTGCCGTGCAACCTTGTTGCCGAGCCTCTCGGGGAGATAGAGAATTCCATTTCCCACCAACTGCTTTCTGGTTGCCAGGCAGGGATGCCAGCACCGCCGACCAGTGTTTCTATGGTAGTCGTTTTCTCCACCTCCCTCCCACTTGTGGTTGACACGACCACAGCGTTTTCCAAAGCACTGCCGACGCAGGCCTTTTCTTTCTTGACCCCTCTCATCAACTCGGCTGTCCCTTCTTCACCCTTCGTTCTCCCTCCTTTCCTCATATTGTATGGCTCTTCGTTTTTGTACTAGTAGTCCTCATCGAGCATCGGCATCATCATGAAAGACTCAGAGGAGGTGAAAGGAATCAAGGAAGCGGAACGTCTGCTCCTTGAGAACAACCGAAACAGATTCCAGCCAACGGAAGAGGTTGAACAAACTGAGACAGACAATGGCACGGAAAAGGACATGAAAGGAATCAAGGATGCTGAACGAGAGCTCCTGCAGCAAAACAGGAGTCGGTTCCTGGAAGTAGAGTCCACAGGAATGCCAAACACAGCAGCGGGAGCACAAGGAGAGTTGCTGTACCCAAAACAGGAGAAAGAAGCGGCGACTCAAGACGGCAGACCAAGAACGGAAGAAGACGATACTGCAGCACCAGCACGAGCTACTAACCCACGCGCACAGTCGCTGGTATTACCAGCACGGTTCGCCTTTGACACTGTCGAATTGCCACAATTCATGCCATCTCCACAACAACCAGTTCGTCCTGCACAGAGGATTCCCGGCGCCTACCCCGCAGGACCCTATCCGCCCCGACATAATAATACTGGATCAACCCAAACGCTAGAGTCTCCTCCTCCCAGCCAACACGTTGTGGAACCGCAAGCTGCCATGGAGGCTCTACATCAACTACCCGACATTGAGGCTGCTGACGATCAGGATGGATTGGTCATGGCCACACCAGTCAGCTGGCGTAGCATGCCCTTCGACGTTGCCCAACCCGTGGACGGAGATGGCACCCGCAAGGGCCAGAACGAAAATGACAAGATACGCTTGTGGATCCTTCTATTGTTTTCAGTTGGAGTTGTCATATGTGCCATTGTTGTGATTGTGACGGCAACCTCGGGCAAGAGAGACACCACCAGCACCATTCCCAGCAGTACTGAAATGAACCACAGCGAAAACCAAGACTACTCTGACACTAGTAGTGCTCCATGGGCTTGGGGCCTACCTTTTGTTGTTCCGAGTTCAACAATTGATTCCATCCAGGAAGGATTTGCATTAGCGAAGGAAAATGGTACAACGCCACAGCTACAAGCCTACCAGTGGATCAAGAGCGATCCTTTCATAAGCAACTATTCTGAGGGGCGCCTTTTGCAAAGATTTGCACTAGCAACATTCTACTATGCTTTGCAGGGGCCAGATTGGCCCTATCAAGGAGGTGGTACCACAACGGTGACTATGGAGAGTGGGCCTCTAATTAGGGAAGCATGGGATGTGAACATCACATCAGAACCATGGCTCTCCTATGAGTCATCTGAGTGCACCTGGTTTACATTTGCCAAAGCATTTGAAGTTGAGAATTGCCGCACCCCCAACAATGATACCTCCAAGTCAGAGTTGACCTTTATGGGTGTTCAGCAGAATGGCTTGGTTGGTACGCTGCCACCAGAGCTGGCTCTTCTGACATCATTGGAGTATCTTACTGCATTGGAACGAAATCAAATCACTGGAACCATCATGACAGAGCTTGGAGGTCTCACAAACTTGAGGATATTGAAATTGGCAAGCAATGAGTGGACTGGTCCAATCCCTTCAGAGTTGGGGTTATTGACACAAAATCTTCTTGAGTTGGAACTCATCAACAATAAGCTATCTGGCCAAGTTCCATCAGCCTTGTGGAATTTATCAAACTTGGAAGTATTTACTCTTGGCTCCAACGACCTGTCTGGTTCAATCCCCTCAGATGTTGGATATCAGTTGCCCCATCTGCAAGAATTCAACATTCCCAGGAATCAGTTCGAAGGCACTGTTCCCACATCCCTTGGCCTCATGACGGATCTGGTTTACTTGAACTTACATGAGAACTCATTCACTGGCCCATTGCCTTCTGAAATTGGGCAGCTTGTCAATCTGCAAAAGATGTTTCTCAAAGAGAACTTTATCAGCGGACTGCCAACTGAGATTGGTCTCATGTCAAGCTTGAGGAATGTCAACATGGAAGGGAATATTGGTCTGACAGGAACAATTCCTGTAGAGTTTGTCAACCTTCGGCAAAATGGTAATCTGAAAAGTCTGTGGATCAGAGGAACAGGCTTCACTGGTACCATCTCTGGTGAACTTTGTGGAATGAAGAATTTCTTGAAGTATGATTGCTCTTCATCCCTCTGCGGCTGCGAGGACTGTCCTTGTGCAAATCAAACCAATTTGCTGAACGTGACTGTGTAATGTTGTAGATTGGATGATCATCATTGAGCTGTTATTAGTGTTGTAGTTTGTGGCGGCTTTGCATCGCCGTTCACTCAAGCGAGCATGTGGTCTGTGGCTTCAAAACGTCTATTTGTGCCAACTGGTTTGTTGTTCGGGCGAGAGATGCAATTCCCGGATTCGATTTACGGCCCATGAAGGGTTTTACCGGAGATGCTTCGGACCTTCCGCGTCACCGGTAGCCTTGCCTTGGATATGCCGCGTTTTTGGAGGCGCCATTTCTGAGTGTGATCGTTGGTCTTGCCCGTAGCTAATGCTGGTGTGACACTCTCCACTCTTGGTTCTCCTTTCGTCATGACGAAGTGATACGTACCGTGGATGGCATCATGCCAAAGGTATGCACGTTCTCTTGCAACTTTTGAGCCGGAAAGACTTTGGAATGCTTCCAACGCCCTTTGCTCTTTCAGCTCTGCTAGCTTTTAAATAATATCAACAACGCGCCACAGCCAGAGGTCACTCTCTCTCACGCTTTCAATGGAGCCACCAGAGCCACCACTGCTCATTGATTGTGATAGCTATTGTGATACTGTAGAGCTCTGCAACAAACCTCTTATCTCATGATGAGCACTCTACCGCACGGCTAGTTGTTTCGGGCAATCGAGATGGAATCTGAAGAACAACGAACGAACGACTACGGTACTCCACTCTGCTCTACCGAGATGTGGATACACCATGACAGCATGACGTGTTTCATTGGTAAGATTGTTTGCTCCTGTACTTCCATCTAAAAGTTGACAATGGTACGAAGGCACAATCAAAACGTACTACAAGGGATTTGGAAAGAGTTTGTTGTGAGCGCCGCCTTTATTGTGCCGTTGCTGCCGTGACCCAACAAATCTCTTCACAATTTTTAATCATGCAAATCCCAAGAAGAGTCTGATCCGGTCCTTCACACTCACGAATCTCCTCAGTTCCAACGGGAGGTTTGCCATGGACATGGTTCTCATTTATTTCTCACACTGTTTATTTTGCTTTTTGAATCGAATTAAAAAACTGAACGTCTAATAACGGATTCAGACAAGATGTGCTTGAGGACTACCCACGAGCTAAGGCCCGGGTATTTCCCACAGTCAAGTCTGCTCACCGGCTTTTTGAATCGAATAGAATCATTGAATCTGAATCAAATTTAGGATTATGCCCCCTTTTTGGATGTTCCATGACCCATGGTACCGGTAAAGTCACTGATCGTGTCCTCTAAAGTATTATTGAAAGAGACATAGCAAAGTTGCGACGATCCGAGATGGACTCGACACTGGTGCTGGCGAGCGAAGCAGAACAAAACGCACAGGCACTCCCCTGGAGAACCATTTTTTCTGCTACAACATGGATCTTGGGTCAAACGATTTTTGGGTCTACTTCTATGGCTCAAACGTTACTTCCCCGACGAAAGCACAATACTGGCTAGATAGCTATAGGCCTCTTGCATGTTAGGAAACGTTGCCACTTTCTGCATTATCTAGCTAGTTGGAAGCACTTCTAAAGACCTGCTCAAATCGCTCTTGACTTGATAGTGTTCTGTGTGGCAAGCACACTCTCTTTCTAATACATGTAGTGGATTGCTTGGGGCAAGTTTGTTGGTCCCTTCCGTACGGGAGATACCAGCAGAGAGTGAGTTGATTGGCTCTGGATGGTGGTTGTCCGAAAGGTCTTTGGTGGACTGGCTGGAATATATCACGTTGTGGAATGTTTGATTTTGGGGTGGCTGGTGCCCGAATCCGCCTGAATCTTTTGAGGGCAACGTATCGTATGTCCAATTCTTTTCGAGAGAACCTTCCCACAGTTTGCTGATTGATCATGTTGAATTCCACCAAGGCACAAACTGTCGACTTTGTAGATCGAGCTTGAACAACTTTCTCATAGAAGGAGGTTGATGTGCCAGATGATGCCAATAGGTCTCTGCTACGGTACTGCCTAGGAACAACCAATGGCAAAATTCTTTCAACCTAGCATTTTCCCCAAGGTATCAGGTACTCTAGAGGATGGCTCCATCCTCCACAATAATATGAACCACATGAATTCCTTGATGAGTGTATGCGGCATGCAGTGATTGACACAGCCTTCAAGGGCGGGGGGTCGTACTACGGTACCGAACTATTGTACTCGTAAGTTTACAATGCCGCCGTACCGGTGGGAGATGGAGAGGTCACGAACTGTCCGGGACTAAAAAGATCGTTGGATGTTCCAAAGATCTGAACCTGGACATGAATGCAGCTGCCAACTCCCAGCTGTAGCAGACCGGCCATGGCAAAGCTACGGTATAAAAAGTTCCTTTTGGACGATACGTACCATACCTTTGTGTTCAGCTCTGGAAGGTCTGATAACGCAGTCTACAAGTAGTAGCTAGTTCGTTTGTCTCTATTTGTTAATTCATTCATGATGCCATTAACCCAACGAAAGACAAACGCTTCGTTCAAGCTGACAAAGACCAGACAACCGACGAGTCCACTATCCAAGTTGCTCCCCATGTCCAATGGACCCCTGTGCAGCAATATCCGTACTGGTACCCAGAAACAACAACGAGAGAAACTCGTGGTGACGGTGGGGTATTCGTTACTCTTTTTTTGGATCTTCACGTTGGGAGGATTCAGTTTTGGAGGTCCCCTCGAAGCTACCACCATTAAGAAGATCAAGCGACTGACGGGCATGTCGTTACCCGTGGCGGCGGTGGGACATGTCTTGACGATTCTCGATAATGACAATGACTCGCAGCAACAACGTCCATTGGCATCGTTTGCCATTGAAATTCTACCCAATCCAGGCATTAACCACACGGATTCGGCAGCTGCCATATTTACCACGACGGGACCACACACAGTAGAAGTATCTCTGATGGGTCAGAGCGATCGCAAACTGTTCAAAAGTGCAAAGAACCTACAACCACCCGTCCTACGATTGGTGGGAGACCTGATTGTCCCGATACCCTTGTGGACGACCAATCAAAAGGGACAATGGACGGGGTCATTCCTCTTGCCGGCTGTAGACAATGCACAACTGCAGTTGGAATCACAGTGGACCGGGTGTATAGATGACAAGAACAACAACAAACCATGCAACATGGAACATTCCAAAGAAACAAAACTACAAACCAAAGTTACTCCAGAGTGGGAATCATCATCATCTCAAACACCACCCAAGAATCCCACGTGGGCAGATGCTGCTACCCTTTTTCCACCCCATCAAGCATGGATCCATGTCCAGCGAATGGCCCATCCACCGCTCAAAATGGACTTGCAACAACAACAACCACACACACAACACTATCTATGGGGCAATCTCGCCACACTCGACAAGGAAGAACCGTTTGGAGCCATCAAACGATTCACCGTCGCCAATACACGGACATTGACCGACGAAACCGACACTCACGTGGCGTTATCGTCCACCATTCGTCCTGCCTTTAAACCGCAATGGTATGATTCCTTTTCCGGGTTGTCCAATTACGAAATTGTCTGTTGGATCGGTGGCCGCACGGCACAATTGCTGCACGCCACGTTCTTGAGTATGCGGGGCGATTTATTTCCCGGACAACGGCCCTTCAAATTCCATTATCATCCTATCGTGGACAGTCTCGAGACGCCCGATACAAGCTGGAACGACGAATTCAAGGAGAAGTTTCGAAAATGCAAACACGTGTTTGTCAGTCTGGATCATGGCACATCCGCCTTTTACGAAACGTCCATTGCCGAGCCACTCTCGGCCACGGCGTTTGAACAACGGGTACTGACATTTACACAACACTTGTTGAAAGCTTTTCCCGATTCGACCTTTCCCATTTGGATGGTATTGACACATACAGCAGCATCATCGCCACTGAAAGCACGGTATCAAGCCAATCATTGTTTTGAGGATGGCAAAAACAAAGACAACAAAAAGAAGACTGACAAACAGCAACCACACAGTTTGGAACATCCCTGTCATACCGTCCTGCGCGGCATGTTTACGGCCCCCCACAAAGCCGAGCTATTCCCAGCCCAAGATCAAAATCGGATTCGACTCATGGACAATACCGATGTGACCATGGCAACGGTCGAGTGGGATCATCCACGACCACTCGATGTATTGGCCGTTGTGGCATTGCGACAATTCATTTTAATTGGCAAACAAGTCCGCGAATGGCGAGACAGTGGGCAAATTGGGCAGATTGATGGACTGCATCGCAACAATACCATTGTATCGACCGAAAAGAATTTGGTGCCGTATCAATGGAACACATAAATACTAGTGGAAGGATCGACGGACACAATTCAAGAGCAATGCGTCGACTGGATTGCTTGAAAGTTCGGCATTGCAATCCCCTCTCCTTGCTCGTGTGGACAGCAACTGTCTTGCGCAGCCAGGAAGCGTTTGGTGGGAGCAATAAGCCCGACGCCCGCGCCAAGACTTCGTCCCAAGAACGAACGAACGACGGCTCACCAGACTTGGGCGTCTCCGCTGGGTGCGTGTGATTCCAATGAAACGTTCGACTGGATCGGCCCGTCAATCCAATCCAATCCAACGCTAAACAACGATAGTCAAAACCCGGGTGCCACAGCCAAGTTAATTAATCATGTATGTACTCTTTTTTCGTTATGTCCGCTAGCTAGCTATTCATTCCTCGGTCGTGGATATATCCACGCTATTCTCCAAGTCCTTGCCGTAGACATCGAGCCGAAGGACGGGCGACTGTTGCTGAAGTCGTTTCAGTAAGTCATCGCCCTTGTCGTACAACCCCAAGGCGCCACCGGTATGCCAAAACAAGACATTGGTGCCTGGTTGGAAACTTTTGTCATTGTCGCTATTTTCAACGACATGTTTGACAAATGTATAGAGTGCCTTTCCGGAATAGACGGGATCGAGTGACATGCCCGTTTCCAGTGCAAATTGACTCACAAAATCCAATTCTTCCTCGGTACTGACGGCATATCCCAGACCCTTGCCCTGATGAACAATCATGTGCTGCCGCATAAATTCTTCTGTCGTGACGTTGTCATTGGGCGGACAGAACCCCATTTCGTCGGCAATTCCCGCCACAAATTTGTAAAAGTAGTCGGGACTATCGCAGACTCCCACGGCATGGATTGTTGGTGGTGATGTTGCTTGTTCTTGTCGAAACGCCAAGGCAATGCCCAAGACAATGCCGGCGGCGGTGCCACCACTGCCACAGGCAAAGACAATGTGATCCAAGGATGATTGTTCTGATTGTTTCCACTGCGACAGCAACTCGTCCACGGCTTGAATATAGCCAAAACTCCCCAATCCGTTGGATCCTCCCACGGGAATGGCATAGGGACGGCTGTCTTCGGATGCTGCCAAATGCTTACAGAGTCGCTGGACCAATGCAACCGATCCCAGACGTCCGTATTCTCCCGGCGTACACGTGTAAATGGTACTTCCCACCATGCGATCAAACAGAATGTTGCCCGTCATGCCAAAATCTTCACTAGTGTCGGATACACGACGCGTCCGCAATATCAAATGAGGTTCCAATCCGATCATGCGAGCGGCTGCCGCCGTGGCACGACAATGATTGCTTTGTTCGCCGCCAATCGTCACCACTTGCGTGGCATCCGCCCGTAAGGCATCCGCGAGTAGAAATTCCAATTTGCGAATCTTGTTGCCTCCCAATTCGACGCCTCCCGACATGTCGTCGCGTTTTGTGTAGAGCGATATCCCGCGGTCATGGAATTGTTGGAGAATACTACTTGTATTGCTTGTACTGCCATGATGAGGAGCATGAATGGGATGCAGCGGAGTGGGCAAATTGCCCAAGGGAATTCGTCCGTGCACGGGAGGCTTGGTAAAGTATCCAGCAGCCCACGAGGGAAGTTCAAACGGCACTATGCGTTGCAGGACGGCGTCGCGGGTCGCCATGGCGCGTGTAGAGCTCATTGTGGTAGTCAGCAATAGAAGAAGGAAAAGGACAAGAACGTTTGGAAATGAAGACACAACCACCACAGCCATCCTTCTCAATAGCTACCGTACGGACTAGCTAGCAAGCTAACTTGAAAGGTCCAACAGATGTACTGGTAGCAGCCTCTCTTTTATGATGTGTTGGACACTGCTGAATGGATCTTTGGATCTTTCGTTTTTCCAACAGATCTTTGGAGGATTCAATCACGCACGAGCTCTTCCAGCCACGCTGTAGTACCGATACCGGTATGCCGTACTAGTACCGGTACCGATAGCTCCGGTAGGCCCGTTGCATCCCTTCTCCAGCTGGCTGGCTAGTGGTGCTGACACCAGAACGAATTCAGCTACCAGGCTGCCCCAGGCAAAATCCTTCAATGGTCAATGATAATTGGCAGCCTTTTAGAAGCTCAGGTCACGAAAACATTGGAAGATAGCGTATCTCTCATTGCATGCTGCATTCTCCAAGACAACACCCCAAAGCCAATTTATCCTCGCAAAGGCTGTCAGTGAATCCCTACTGGGACAGGCAGTAGTCAGCAGCATCACCATCACAACACAGAGTGCAGCAAGAGCACTCTACCATGGGATCGCCTGTGCCGCCCCTTGGTAAACAGTCAGCTGCCACTTGAAATCTCCACTTTGTGGGGTCAGCCAAAGCACAGACAGATGATGGAATGGAACCAGAAAGGTCATTCCCATTCACAATAAACTGAGTTAGCTTTGTCAGAGCAGAAAGCTGTGCTGGGATGGTGCCATGGAACTTGTTGTTGGAAATGTCAAAGAGTTCTAGCTTTGTCAAAAGCTGCAGTCCAGTGCTTATGGTGCCAGCGAAGCCACAGTTGGAGACCCGAAAAGCAGCTAAGTTGGTACATTCTGTAAAGAGTTCCTCTGGTATGCTGCCATCCATATGAGTTCCACTGATATAAAGTTCTGCGAGAGAGCCTTGCAGAAGTCCTATTTCGGATGGGATGGTTCCGTGTAAAGGGTTCCCTTCCAAATAGACGACGGCTCGAAAAATTCCATGCAATGCTCCAATTTCAGTGGGTAGAGTTCCTGTAAGCTACAAAGCAGGGAAATGGTGAGCTGTCAATTAAGGGTCTTGACCAAAAGTAGAAGATCGCTGATGTTCTGTTCCCAACAAAATGTTGTCATACCTTATTGTCATAAAAATAAAAAGAGCGGATTCTTTTGCCAGCATGAAAGAGCTCTGTAGGAATGGAACCAGACAGGCTGTTTGATCCGAATCCAAGTGCGACCCCATCAAAGAGTCCAACTTCTGTGGGCACTGTCCCGGTTAGTGAATTGTTTGTCAGAAGTATTTTGGAAAGTGGGGATCCAAACAATTCCACAGGAATACTTCCTGTCAGTTGGTTCCCAAGGAAGTCTATTGATTCCAGTGCTAGAAGACTTGCAAGTTCTGCGGGCAGGGGGCCGTTCAATCCATTGTTCCCTGATAATGAAAGCAAGCTAAGGATAAGTACAGGAGTCATGCATTTTGGTTCTTGTTGTGGTCAGCAAAATAGAAAAGAACTCACTGAGCCGCAACTGAGTAATGCGATTCTCTCCGTCACAAAAAATTCCTGCCCATTGACATTCATGGACACCTGTGAGCCACCTGCTTGCCAATGAATCCGAACCTTGGATTTGAATCCAACATGTTTCATCGTTTGCAGTTTTAGATGGTCCACAGGCAAGCCAATCACTCTCCCGGGATGTTTGAAAGGATGTTAATGACAAGATGAACCTCTGTAGAAGATTGTTGGCATCTGGGTTGAGCTGCAGAGGATCCTCAAACACGATCCAATCAAGAGCCTTGAACTTTGGCTGGGTGGGTTCTGGCTCATCATTTTTGGGAAAATAGTCAGGTCCAAAAGTCTGTTCGATTATGTTTTGAATGTCCTCCAAAACAATGTATCGAAAAGAAGTGGGGGCATCACCTTCCTTGTTGCTGCAGAGACCAGCCCCACAGATGGAACCAACAATCACTCCAACAATGAGAATGCTACCAATGAGCACAAGGATCATAAGAGTCATTGAGGTTGATTTGTTCTCCCCATGCAAATGGTCGGGTCTAGCAATCTGTGTGGGTTCTTCATTTTCTTCAACCTGGTTCGCCACCACCAATCCATTAATATTGTCCGTTGGAGTGGTGGCTTGGCCATCTGCTGTACTTTGATTCCTTGCGATTGCATTTGATGTAAGCTCTTCAACATGAGAAGAAGAAGTAGCTCCCACCAATGAGCGACTGAGTGTCGTGGTTCTGTGGAGATCAGTCCCAGGGACCGCTGTGTATGCTCCTGGACGCATGGTAGCTTGATTTGCCTGATTTTGCCCACGAGCCAACCTTGGTTGCGGAAAACCAAGCTCATCCTGTACTAGCCAAGTTTCTTCTGCTCTGGTTTCCTTTCCCGTGGAGTTGTCGCCTGCTGTGCTGGGACAGCCGGCTTCAGCTGACAGCGTTTTGCTGGTGGTATCTTGACCATGATTCTTTATTTGCTCCTGTACGACCTGCAAAATAAAGGTATCTTCTTCTTTTTCTTCTTCTTTGATTTCCTCTCTCATGGGGTTGTCGCCTGTTTTGCTGGGATGATGTTGCGATGACTGGAATGACCTCCCCATTTGGGCTCGCTTCGATTGCTCGTCTTCTTCTCTCTGTTGCGCTTCCGATTCCAAAATTTCCAGCTTACTGAACTCCGCCTCTCTATTGCCCCCCTGACTTCTGGCAGCCACAATATCCATCAGCTCTTCCTCCTCCTCATCCATTTGGGCTGCAGAAGGTTCCATCCTTGCCGAACCTCTACTGTATTGTGCTGGGCAGAAACAAATACTTCTTGTGAGGAACTACGTGGGTGGGCTGTTCTCTGCCACAAAAAAATTCTGCTTGTCCTCCCTTTCTTGCCCCTGATCCCACAGAACCAAGTCCTGAATTTCGACTGTTCTGCTGGCTTCCGTAAATCATTTCGTACCGGTACTGCTTGTAATTGCAGCATGACGTCCTCTGCGTGGTGGATTCAATCACGAGCTTTTTCCGTCACGCTTTGACCTGGCTACGCTGTTATGTGCTCAACGTCGAATCCGTACAGTACTGTACGCATTTCCATAGGTACCGGTACCGGCACGGTACGTAAGATGACGGCAAAGGCGGAAAAAATTCGGCAGCCATTCGCAGTTGTTGATATTTAGGGGGGCTTTGAGTATAGGTGGATTGTCTATGGAAGCTGGCTGCTTCCTCGAAGTCAAGCATAATGTACCATGGTATAGAGCAACATTGAAAAGAACAATCTCATTTGGGCTATTCAACTGCTGGATAGTGACCCACTTACGCCGGACCAAGGGGAGGAGAACGATTCATCAGTTTGCAAACTTTCTTGTGGCGCTGAGCCCAGTCAGTGACTTGGCAATCTCGGCTACAATAGAAAACCTTCTTGCATCCCGCACAGCGGTTGTGCTTCTTTGCAGTGGGGGCCTTCTTTCCGCACTTTCCACATCGTAAAACCGTAGGGACATACCGATGCGGGACGCCTCCGTCTGGGATGTATCCGCGTGGGGCATGCAGAGCTTTGGCCATCGTACTATCGTCACACGGAGGGTATTTGGGGAAGTCGGGCCGCGGGAGGAGGTTGAAATTGGTTTGGATTGTTGCAGTGTCAAACGGAACTTCCTCTACCTTGACGTAAACGTCCATTTGGCTGCCAATCTTCATGCAACCCAACTTGATGAGGTCAACATCAAAACAGAATGCATAGGCTTGGTTGCACTCTTCTGTCCACTTGCCGCAAAGGCTGGCCGCAAACACCTCAAATCGTGTCACCCACTCTTTTCCTGCTGCCAGCGAGAGAGGAAATGTGCCATTGTGCGTTTCCATGTACTGCATCAGCGTGTAGCCTCGGGGGCCGTACGCTTGATACAAATGCACACCGTCCTTGGCAATCGTCATGACAAACACATGAGCAAATGTGCCAGGCCTACTCCTGGGAAGCCAGCCACTGCCCTTTCCTGGATTGTTCATGATCTCAACATCCGTCACATTCACAAAGAGAGCGGTCTCTTGTGTATCCACGTTCTCAGTCGCTTTATGGTATGCATCCGAGAGGCTGTACGGCCAACGGGTCTCCGTTAAATCACGAGGCAGAGTACACCCCCCGATGGATCTGTTGGCTGTACGACAAGCATTGCATTTGGCAGAGGCTGTTGGAGGCGAAAGCATATGCATGACTATCGAGGCCACAAATTTGCATCCATTCCAGGGGCAGTTGTCGCCAACTGCAAAAAATGGGATGAAATCACCTGCTTTCTTATGCTGCAAGGACTTCAGGTCGTTGTTAGACCAACGGCCACCAGAATTTTTGACGCAATTGTCCAGCACCATGACCTGATGCTTGAAACCATGCTCATCCTGTCGCAGCCTCTGTAGGAGACATTTCCACAAGAAACTGCCTGCTGATTCATCCATTGGAGTAACTCCGCTCCCCTTAGCACTGAGCGACTGGAGGCGAGGCTCATCAGAAGAAACAGAATTGGTTGAACCAAAGAAACCAGCTTGTCTCATGCGCTCTATCCACCTATCTGCATTCGCGGCATCTCCGCCTTGAACGATCATTTGCCTTGCCTCTGTCTCTGTGTGACCACCGTTAGCAATTCCAACTGCTAACGCGGGTGGCACACCGTCAGGCATTTCTACCCCGAGGAGCTGCATCATCATATCACTCATGGTTGTGTATCAGGAGTCTTATTGTTGTTTTTTGGGCGGTCGAGAGCGAATCGAATCGTTCCTATCAATAGCATGCACTCGGCGGTTCTAGGGCAGTCTGCGTTCAATGGCTGATCTTGACTGGGTGGTAAATGATATGCTTGAACCCGGTCTATTTAATATCTTGTGGAGACACAGATGCGAGAAGTGTTGGTCTTGGCTGATAGGTTGCCAAGATGGGTATCATAGTGTGGAGCCTTGGGGTATCTACTAGTGGAGCCTTTTTGATCACTGTGTGCCACTCGTTGAATGAGCAGGCCGCGAGCGTGGTCCTATTTCCACGCTACCGTACTCTTTACAGCTCTCTTTGTTAAAGTCCCAGTCCCAATGCGACATTGACCCTTATATCCACCAGAAGCACGTCCCACGAAGCCAACCAGTATGACTGCCCGGCTCGCGGGACCGCTACTTAGATGTAGATCCAGCAGATCCTCTAACGGCAATTACCAATGCTAACCGCCGTTCGGGGACAGAAACCACCAAAGCCAATAGCTCATAATTGTTTCTAACCTCCAGTTAAAACCTTAGAGCTATCGACTTCAATAGTTAGAAAGCAATTCTCAACCACTGATCACCGACCAAACTCGTTGATCCAGCTCTGATCTACATCCCACCACAGCCACACGCACCAACAACAACAAAAGCGCCACCATGGCCGCCACACCGGACCCACTCCAGTCCTTCAAGTACAACACACTCACTCCAATCGTTGGCCAACCAACGCGCAACAGCATCAAAATCCTCGAAAAGGAAAACCGCGACAATGCACACAACATCTACAGCACCCGTGGCACAGGCGGAGAAGGACACCTTCGACTCTGCTACACCACCCTAGCTGAGTACAATGCACGCGACATCATGCTTGGCCGCCACTGGGTAGACCCCGTCCACCCAGGACCACGAGCCGACATTCCACCAGGAGCCACAGCAGCACAGATCGCCCAACGCATCAGCGCCTACAAGTTCGACCTCAAAGAGTTCGAAACCTTCAAACAAACCGAACTGGCACTCCTCCACCATGCCATGGAAGCCATCGAAGAAGTCTACTATGCCGACATGGAAGACCCCGACGATGGCTACTCACAAGTCTCCTACATCGACTTCATTGTCTACCTGCGAGAAGAACATGGAGAGCTCAGTGACGACGACCTTACCAAAAACATGCAACGCATGAACGTACCATGGTCCCCATCTGAACCAATCCACAAGCTCTTCACGCAGATCAACAAGGCCCGAGCCTTTGCCAGGAACAATGACCCCATCAGCGAAGCCGCTGCAATCCGCTCGGCCGCAATCAACCTCGAGAAGACAGGAGTCTTCCGCCTCGCCCTCCAGGAATGGCGCCGCCGCCCTGCAGCTGAACGCGACTGGAGCACCTTCCAGCGCCACTTCAAAGCAGCCAACAAAGAACGAATCCGCGACCCCATTACCACTCAAGACGGAGGCTTCCACGACCAACACCGCGCAAACAATGCCAACCAGAAACCCAACAACAACACGAAGAACCCATACCATGTCCGCGACATGGATGGCAACACCATGGCCTACTGTTGGACACACGGAGTCCAATGGGATTTATCCCACACCAGCCTGACCTGCCGCAACCGCCACCATGACCACAACGAGAAAGCCACCCAGTTCAACATGCTCGGAGGCCGTTGCAACGTGAAACGCAAGCCTGGTGAAGCAGCAATCTTCAAGTTCCAGCCCAACAACGACAAAAACAAGGGCCGCAACAACCGTAACGCCAACAGCGCCACCAACGACGACAATGCCACCATCGGCACCAACACCACCGCCGGAGAGACCACCAACACCGGCATGAGCACCCTCACGCCCTGAGAAAGAGAGGAGTCGGCAGAACGTACACGTAAAATTAGTAAAAATAATGACAGTAACTACCACAATGATACGAAAACCGATCCCCTCATTACAAATATAGCAGACACAGGAACAGACCAGCACTATGGCAGCACCACAGATGCCACGCTCCTGAACAAACGAACCGACCCGCATCCCATAGCAGTGAAGATGCCCAACAACACATACGAACACAACACACATACAGCTGAATTGGCCATTGCCAACTTACCTCCAGCAGCAAAAAATATAAAACTTTTCGATAATTTCGACAGCAACTTGATATCGATTGGTCAAATTTGTGACAACGATTGCACAGCTACTTTTACCAGCACTGACTTGACCATCACCGACAACCCAACTGACAACATCTTAATCAAGGGCTTCCGGAACGTCCACACGAATGGACTATGGCACATACCGCCTGACACCACCATACACAGCGGAATCCCACAAACAAATACAGCAACAACCTCTCCACCAAATTTCAACAGCATGCTCCGCGACGCCCAATCAACCTCAATCCCAGCACCTAACACACAAATATCCGACCGGGCTGGCTCCTACGATTGCACAAAAGCATGCTCCCCTCTCCATCCACACACATCAAACCACACCTCAACCGACACACGAATCCAACTCGTACGATTCGCACACGCGTCTCTTGGTTCCCCAAACACAAACACACTACAAACAGCACTCGAAAAAGGATACATACACGGGTTTCCTGGCTTGACCGCCTCGACACTCAAGCGTTGGACTCCTAAGACAGTAGCAACTGCAAAAGGTCACCTTGACCAAACACGAAAGAACCAACAGTCCACAACCAAACACTCGACACAATCTCCATTCCTACAAATCAAAAACACCTCTCCACCAACCGCTACACCAACACCATCCGAACAACCAACACAAACCATCGACAATGATGAAATCCCGTTGCAGCAACCCACTCACCAATGCTACGCTGCACTATGGCACACCGCCGACGGTAAGATCTACAGTGATCAAACAGGCCGCTTCCCAGTTCCATCGTATCGGGGCAACCAGTACATTTTCCTATTGTATGATTATGACTCTAACAACATCATCGTCAGGCCTCTCATCAACAGAAAAGCTCCAACGATCCTGGCCGCCTACAAAGACGTCCACGACATGCTGGTACTCCGAGGCCACAAGCCCCAGCTCTACACGCTCGACAACGAATGCTCGTCCACGCTGAAGAATTTCCTCGCTTCTGTCACCAACACCGTACGACTACAACTAGTACCACCCAACACCCATCGACGCAACGCTGCCGAACGGCCATCCGCACCTTCAAGAACCACTTCCTCTCCGTCCTCGCTACTACCGATCCAGACTTCCCAATGAACCTTTGTGTGAGCTCCTACCTCAGGCCGAGATGACCCTCAATCTCCTTCGACCATGTCGACGCAACCCCAACTGTCCGCCTATGAAGCACTCCACGGCCGATTCGACTTCAACGCAACCCCCATCGCTCCACTCGCATGCGCGTCCTCAGCCACGAACCATCCGGAAACGCGGCTCCTGGGCACAAAAGGAAAAGATGCCTGGTACGTTGGACCCGCAATGCACCACTCCGATGTACACCACGTGGACTGGGAAACCAACAAAACACGATACCGACAGCGTGAATGGTTCCCACCCCTACACCTACAAGTCCCCGAACCAACACACGCCGAACAAATTCTGGCGCCATCACGGACCTCAACACAATCTTAACCACCCCAAAACACCATCCGACACAACCACCACCGACTCTCCACCGTGACGTACTCCGCAGCTCCATGGCCTCCACGCTCCGAGTACTCCAATTCCGAGGGTGCCAGCACCGATCCACCAACAAAAACCAACAGCCAACACTACCCCACGACAATACACTCACCGACATACCATCAAATGGATCCTCCACAACCTCGAACCTACGCACGAACCCGACCCACACTGCCAACAAAGCTTTCAACCCAGACACGGGCCTCCTTGCAGAATACCGCGAACTCTCGAAAAGCAGCGATGGACACTTGTGGCAACAGGCAACTGCAAAGAATTGGCGCCTACTCAAGGCTACAAAGAACCAAAGGAACCAACCCATGAAGTTCATCCCCAAACACGACCTCCCGCCGGCGCATACCCACGTACATGCGCATCGTCGTTCCTACAGACCCCAAAAGGAAGACCCCTACCGTGTTCGACACACTGTGGGCGGCGATAAGATCGACTACCCTTCGAAACAACAACCAAAACAGCAGATCTCACCACCACCAAACTCTTAATCAACAGCGTCCTCAGTACACCAGACGCCAATTCATGACCATGGACATAAAAGATTACTACCTGTGCAACCCCCTACCACGGACGGAGTACATGAAAATCCATGTGTCCGTCATTCCGAGAAGAAATCATCCAACAGTACCAACTCACGAAAACAACCTCATCGATGACCGTGGATTCTGCTACGTGGCCATCGACGGCGGCATGTACGGCCTACCCCAAGCAGGACGCGTTGCCAACGACCGACTCGTCCCACCATCGCGCCAACACGGCTACCACCAATCCAAACGAGTGCCAGCCCTCTTCAAACACGAAACCAGACCAATCGCCTTTGTTCTCATCGTCGATGACTTCGGTGTCAAATACGTGGCGACGAACATGCCCGCCATCTTGAGGCGGCGCTCAAAAAACAATACACCAATTACTACCGACTGGACAGGCGCCCTCTACAGTGGCATCCACATGAAATGGGACTATGTCAATCGCACTTGCGACCTATCCATGCCGGGCTACATCGATAAGGCCCTGCAACGATTCAACCATCCAACACCAACCAAACGGAGCATTCCCATACACGTCCCAACCTCTCCACTATGGCGTACAAATGACACCGACACGGATACCTCCACCCCGCTAGACAAAAAGGCCACCAAACGAACCCAACAGATCCTCGATGTACTACTCTTCTACGCACGGGCCATTGACAACACAATGCTCACAGCACTCAGCGCCATCGCCACTACACAATCTTCATCAACAACCAACACCCTCAAAGCCTGCAACAAACTACTTGACTACGCAGCCACTCATCCCAATGCCACCATCCGCTACAAACATAGCCCTATGGTTTTACGCATTGACAGCGATGCCTCCTACTTAAGTGAACCCAAGCACGATCACGAGCAGCGGGCTACTTCTATTGCGGTGACAGCACCACTCCACCACAAAACAACCACTCACAACGGACCCATCCTCGTCATCAGCCCCATTCTCAAGATGGTGTCTCCTCAGCAGCCGAAGCTGAAACCGGAGCTGCCTTCGAATGCGGGCAAGAGGGATGCCCCCCCCGAACCACACTCGAATACCTAGGCCACCAACAACCAGCCACCCTATGCGCATCGACAACAAATCGCAAGGCATCATCAATGACACCGTGAAGCAAAAACGCTCCAAGGCCATGATATGCGCTTCTACTGGCTGCAAGACCTCGTCAACCAGAACCAGTACACCGTGTACTGGCAACCAGGCTCCCTCACCTTGCAGACTACCCCTCCAAACACCACCAGCTCAAGCATCACCAACGGATGCGACCAACCTACCTGTATGACCTGAACCACACACAGCTCCACAATGCCTCACAAGCCAACAACATCAACACAACTCCGACTCCTTGTGCGAGGGTGTTTTAAAGCAATACCACTGCACATTACCCTTATATCCACCAGAAGCACGTCCCACCAAGCCAACCAGCCTGACTGGCCGGCTCGCGGGACCGTCACATAGATGTAGATCCGGCAGATCCCCAACGGTCATTTACCAATGACAACGGGGACAGCCACCAAAGCCAATAGCTCATAATTGTTTCTAACCTCCAGTTAAACCCTTAGAGCTATTGACTTCAATAACTTGAACGAACGCAGAGGAATTTTACTAACGCTTGGCGATTTGCTGGGCTGAGGAGCATAAGATGCTGCCCTGAAATGCTCCTGATTATTGTTCACTGTTCACTCCTCCAAGCTCGAAGCCAAACGACACGAGGAGATTTCGCATGGAATGGGAAGGACGGCCCATCCTAGCCAAGAAGTAGCTTTGCTACTTTGTTGAAACATGTAGATACTAGATGATACTTTTATAGGCCGCAGACCTTGCTATGTATGTAAAATGCAGCCAGTAATAGACCAACGGGGCTAGAGGCTGGTTGGTCGACTCTCTTCTGTTCTCGCCCAATTCTAGGCTCCTCCCCTCTTAGCTAAGCGGCAAACGCAGCGGCAATGTTTGGACCTAGGGCGTCGCAATCGTTTTCCTTCTGCTGGAACTGATACTGCTGGTAGAAGAGACACTGCTGCTGAGGGATGTCACCCTCAAGGTCCGGGGCGAAGATATGTTCGAACGTAGCAACGTCGTTGACCTCGGATCGGAGAGGCTGGAAGCTGTCTAGAAGGGCTCTGGGTTCGAAGGAAGGCAACGAATCTTCATCGGCCTTGCGAGGCAACGAAGGCCAGGATGCGAGAGTCGTTTGCGGTGGCAAAGTAGAGCTGGACAAAGGAGTCGGCTCGAAGGGGTTTTCCTCGTTGTCCACGGGATGAAAGCTGCCAAAGGCGTCCACCAAGAGGTTGACCACGTTGCCGTTCAATCCCGAGGCACGACGGTTGAAGATCATTGGCTTGGGGGACAAAGGGGACAATTCCCACTCGAACAAGTGCTGTTGGCAGAATGTTGGAGAGGGAGAAGGAGCCCTTTGCTCTGGGTTGAAACGCATGCGCTTGGGCTCGGGGGCAAGCCACAGAGCATCCTCTTGAAGCATCATGGTGGAGGGGTACCTCTGTACCTCACACCGGCGCTTAAACTTCTTGGAAGTATTGCTGCTTCGGTAGGTCTGGGCAAGATGATCCCTGAAATGTCAAGTAGAAAGTAAATGTGTTATTATATCGGCTTGAAACTCTCTTACGTCGTGGTGTCTGGCTGACGAGACACTTACCGAAAGGTCTGAGAGCACTTCTCGCGGCAGAGTAGGTCCTCTGCATGGACCCACTTGCCAGACGTCGCATCCCGCTTCACAAAGCGGCCCACCTTGCGAACATGTTCCACCACATCAGTGATGATATTGGACTTGTCAGGCTTAGTCTGAGCCTCCGAATACTCCTCCAACATGGTGCCAATGAGATCACGAAGGAAGCGGTTACCAGCATGATGAAAGTACTTCTTTCCCTTGCCGATCACAACGTCCCGGTCGCCTGGAGTGAAGTCCTCTGGAAGAGGTTCAAGGTCGTTGAGGGCCTTGCCATTGTCAACGTTGTTATTACTCATGGTGATGTATGTCTTCGTTGTCTTGATTTGTGAATGTTGTTTGCAAAGTGTTTTGGTTCCCTGTGATTTTGGAATTGTGAGCAGAAACGATTTGCCGGATGTTTTGAAACGACGCAAAGCGAAGGTTGGTTTGAATGCACAAACTTCGAGAGAGAAGGCTGGGCTGAAGAGCTGCTTAAGCCAGTACTAGCTAGTATTGGTACTTGCTAGCTAGTACCGGTACCTACCTCAGCACAGCTGCAAATCCAAGTGACAGTGGTATCGATAGTTTACCTTCGACATCTACAGTCTACAGGGTTGAAAGCCGAGGAATGTAAAAAAGAAGCTGGCGCTGATACAAAATCGAATACCAGGTCAGCCATCGAAAGTCGAAAGGAAACATTGACTTTCCTAGTCTAGCTCTTTCCTTAGAATTCTGTGGAGCTGTGGAGTGCCGCGGTTTCCTTTGGTCAGGTTTCGGAAGCAATATAATTATTATTACTTGTATGTTTCTTACTGACAAATTCAATAGTTTCGACATTCAGGGCGGTTGTTGAACATGATGTGTGAAGGCTCTTTCTTTCAAGCTGATCAAGGGCATCGCGAAGGTTTTGGATTACTACTCGGAGTACCACTGAGTACAAGAGCAATCAGTCCTCTGACTGCGCGAGAGCTCAGTTAATACTGTAGACCGGTGCTGGGTGCTGGGTATTATTGTGTGAGCTACATGTCAGTACATGTATCTATTGTAGGCTTCTGCGTGGGTTATCTGGAAACGAATTCTGATTGGGGGTTCGTTGCTTTGTTGACTTCGCATTGGAGAATCACTTTGATTTAATCAGCATGGCACTAAACGATACACCACATGTTCTTGATGCAGTTTTGTTTAATTCATTTACTTCTCCTACGTGTTCCATGCCACCATTCTTATGTCTTGTATGCTACGACAATATCACCGTATCAGTACTCGCACGGCAGCTCCCTGAGCTCCAAGTACATGTATTAGTTGTTCAGGCGATGGGCTGGTGGCTGGTGGGAGCCTGGTTTACCATTTACCATTTCTGGTACGTCTACTAACAACTGGCTAGTTTCATGTTGTAGAACGGAGCCACTCAAAGCAAAGCAGGAGTAGAATGAGCCTGATCAACTTCATACTCACAAACCACCACACGCAAAGCGAAGATCGAGGAAGCCGACAGTCATAACGAATTGGCCAAGATGTCAAAGCATGACCAGTCTTGATGCGCTTCTTTCCGCCGAATAAGCAAATACCATATTCTTCTTCCTAGCAGGCAGCTTTCCTCGCTTACTACAGCTAGTATCGCTTATCACCAATACCAGAATCCATCCTTCCCACTCTAATAAACCTACCAGACAAAGGTTCGTATTCTCCGTCTTTTTAATTAGGCTGTCTGGCTACAAGTAGATGTGGCCGAGGACGAATCCTGGCACTTCCTCTCTTGAGATGAATCTCTTGCTCCGGCACATTTACATTCTCGTTGGTGCATTGATTGGTTCACGACGAATGTTGGCAAAGCCACTCCCTACATCTTCACTTTGGCTTGACCCAGAGAACCTAGTTGCTTCCAATTGAAGGTTTGCGCGCATTCCCTTGCTTGTTCTTCATCCAATTTCTGTAAGGTTGAAATGTCAATCATGGAATGTAACTCCTGCAATCGCTCCTTCCAATAACGTTATTTACCTGTCTATTCTCCGACTGGCTTGCGTTCATGACTCGTTACCAGCCGGGACATTACCGGTACCGGTATGAGCGTGCATGGGTGATACAAAAGGCAACGCTGCCACCAGCTGGTTTATTAGCTCTTAAAGAAACAAGCTACTAGCTAGGCCGAGGTTAACTGATGTTGTTCCATCAACAATTACTAGCTAGAAGTAGTTTCATCGTTGTCTGCTTTGCCTTCTTTGTCGTACGGTAGGTTTGGCACAGAGGGCAGATGGGAGGGCAGTGGCCCTATGAGAACCTGCTGCCACCTTGCCATTCGGGGCCACGGCTGATTGATGATCTCGTACAACAACAAATCAGATGTACAATACTATACAGAACTATATTAGTGCATTGGGAATTCAGTTTGGATAACTTTGTGGCGGACGTAGAGGGCAATGCTTGTATGGGCTCGTGTTTCAAAGCGAATTCCTACTCCAAATAGTCGGTGCATTCCAAATGGGCGCTGCCCAAGAGCAATTTTAAATCGACCACGATTTTGAACGAAGTACGGCATTCGCTTGCGCCTGGCAAATTTATTTGTGGGAATGGCCACAACGGGAAGTGGGAGAAGCATTGCTTGTCCGGTACGTCCTTTATGTCGGATGAATACTTGGTTTCGCTTAACACATGGAACTGCTTCAGGTCAGTCGGTGAATGGCCGGGCCTTCTGGAAATACCGGTTGGCTTGGGGCTGCGCCTTTGATACGACGGAACGCTCACTCTTATGCAGCATCGTTCGCCTGAAAGTGAGCTTATTGGGTACTGTGCGCTGCCACCAATAAAGGACCCCGCAGAGGGCCCTTCATGATGTTTGTGGGAGTTGAGCTCGCGTTAAGGTTCTTCTGTTACGCCTGAACCTGTTCGGGTTACAGTGCAGTATGCATGTACCGGTAGTAGCTTACTAGAGCTAGTAGTGGAATTTGAACAATTCGTACGTGGGTAGCACATAACAATATGGTAAAACCCACCGGCAGTATACCGTGCCCGGACCAGTATGTACGACAGCAAGGATTGGACATGTCATGGTACCGGTATGACGAGTCTTTGGGGATATGTGTGCGGGTAGCAGGTTTTGTGCCACAGTGACGACAGATTCAGTTGAGTTTAACTTTGAATTCTATGCATATTACATGTATGAACAAAAAGTGTACTACTGTATAGAAGGAGGCGAATTGGGTGCGTCCCTTTACAAGAATTCAGTAATTTCAAAGTCATCAAAGTTCAGATCTTCTTGACGGAAACATGACAGAGAGTTGGTCAATCCTGAAATGCTGTCTTCATCGCATGCGGCAATTTTTCCATAGTTCAGAGTCTGCAGTAACTCAAGGCCTTGGAAGAGTGTGGCTGGCTGCGCTGGAGTAGCAGATTCCAGTTCCTTGTTTTGTGGCGGCAACGCCTTCTCGACAGAGACAATCTCCACTCGATTTCTCTTGCCAGCATTGGTTGTCTTGGGCATTCCCTTCTTGCGGTATTCGTGGAGGGCGTCGCGAAAGACAGCAGAAGTCTTTTCGCGGCAGAGCAAATCCTCTGCAATCAACCAGCGACCCGAGGCCAGATCGACTTTAACAAAGCTGCCACTGTCACGGATGCGGTCAACAACGTTTGAAATGATGAGCGACTTATCCATCTTTGTTCGAGCTTCAGCGTACTCGGCAATCATCGAAACGGCGAGACGGCGAAGCATTTGGTTTCCTTCATGTTTGAAGTATTTCTTTCCTTTTCCCACAACAACGTCGCAAGCGCTGGGGGCGAAGGTTTCAGGGAGAGCATTTGAGTATAGCATTGTGTGATATGAGGATATGTGTTGTTCTTGTTTTTGTGGTTTGTGTTTTCGATTGTTCGAAGTCAAGATTGTGAGGATTGTGCCAAACCTTGGATGGTGGAAGCGCAGCAGATGGAAAATCCTTGTCGTCGCTGGGACAGTGGTGGTACAGCTGACAGCGCAACTATCTAGTTTCGAGTTTCACGGCCTGCGGTCCGAATAGAACGTCCTAGCTCAATGACAAGATTCAGATTTGCTCACAAACAAGACAAATGGTTTGTGTACATACGACAGAAGTACCAAGATTGTAAGGACATAAGTTCACTGCATTTTCACTGACTCAAAAAGCAGGCTGAATCGTGTAACTTTTATGAATTTCCACAGGCCTAATGGTCCTGAATTTGGATGAAAAGAACAGCGATAATTCCTCTGGACTGACCAGTCTGTTCATCATCTATTATCTCAATATCTCAATCTACTGTATCTGTTTGTCTGTTTGTCTTGAGGATGAGCAGTGATGTAACGTCCAAGCCTCCAAGCTTAGAAATCGGAATCCGAATCACACTGGAACCACCAGACCAGGCTTCTGTTTTCTGCATCCTTTGGCCTACAGTACCTACTACTCAATAGTAATACTGGAGTACTGAGTACGGTACGGTACGGTAGTACGGTACGGTACGGTATACATCGGAGTAAGTTTTTATGCTATAGTGCAGTGGCAGGTACCATTACAGCTTTTCTGACATCGGGCTTCCTTTTCTCATTTCTCCGCCTGTTCTGCATTCGTTCCCGGAACGGATTGATTCTTCGATCTTGTCTTAGCCATGTGACCAATAATTCTTGATGAAAGTTAATGGTAGTTTCTGAATTTGCAATGAATTGGAAAAATTGAAAATTAGAAAACGCTTAGAGAATCTGAAATAGTATCAAAGTTTCGTTAGGAAAGTACATGTATAGGAAATAGTCACTTTCGGATGATAATTGGTTGGATTGAATCATTCATTTCAGATTTCACCGTTGGTCGCTAGTCGCCAGCTCCACATCCCTGTGGCCTAAAAGAACGAGAATGCATCCAAACAGGCATCCGAAGTCATCCATCCAACCAAGGCCGATGGTTTGAGTGACAGCCGAGTTGAGTCGAGTCGAGTCGGCTACGGTATGTATGATGTTAGCACCAGCCAGCTTTTTGGCTGGCTAGCTAGCTAGCTACGGTAGCCTGCCACCCAGTTTTTTAGTGCCACCAATGCCATAGCGTGGGCCCCTTTACAACCCGGCGGTACCGCAGCGTTCCTTGGTATGGACAACCGAGCGAACCCAGCAATTCGGATCCGTAGTGTGTTTTCCACGCATGTTGCCGGTTGGCCAGCAAAGCCGAATGCCAACACGCCACAGGCGATCAACGCAGTCCTGATCTGCCCCCTGCTATGCATAGCTGAGAAGAGCCTGCTACCCGTAATGGTCATTGCTCTCCTCTTCTTTCGCATTGGGCGGCCGGCAAGCAACCAGCCAATGCCGTCCCATGCCGGGAAGCCTGCTGGTACTGCCATTAGTATCCTCTGCCGTCGACTACTGGAATTGCTTGCTTACATTCCCAAAAGATTCCTCACGCAGCATTGAAGCGATAGAGCTACCGGTAGAAGGCACAACCCGCCAGGGTGTCTTTGCAGGTTGCAGTCAGAGCTGTGGTTGGCAGCACCTCGTGACTCCAATCATGACCAACCACTGCCTGCTGCCCTTCCACCCAACATGAAACGGTCCACCCTGCAGCCCCAGTTTCCTCCGAATACCATACTGCAATCTGGTGTCCTGGGTCCCTCGAGTGTGTCTCCCATCCAGTCATCACCTATGTTCTAGCTAGAGGGCACTGTTGGTTCAGTCCCCTATCCCCTGTCAATGTGATCAGGGGGTCTCCTCAACCGATGCATGAATGTACTAGCCAAGAGTGAGCGAAACTTACGAAAGCATGATTCCTGAGTTTGAATTTCAAGAAGGAAGCGCTGCCTCTAGACTCTAGAGTAATGGAGGAGCGATAAGAATGACTAGCTAGAGCACGTTGTTAGCTAGCCTCTCTACTTACTTTCAAAATCAAACACAAGCCACTGAGCCACTGCAGGCAGCGATGAAACACTACTTATTTATGCCCCGTTGAAAACACGGACAAAAGGAACTAGCCAAGCAGGCACCCCCAAATATTGGAACTGCCTGAGCTCGCTGAGAGCTGCATGGTGGGCTTGCGTCTTGACCACCTGACCTGCAACCATCAACCTGGCACAAGGTTGCGCTAGATGTATGAACGCCTTCTCAATCGATCAAGAGCAGAGTTGACAGAGCGGCTGTGTAGGATATTGCCTTCATTCCAAAGCTAGACATAGTTATCTGTTTTGGGAGATGGGTTCTATAGAACCATGCAGTACCGCTGTGAACAAACTAGGCCACAATTGCTTCGTGAAAGCTTTTACTTTAGTTGTAGTTATAAAGTCAACCTATAAATCTATTATACACACCCTGCCCTAGTTGCTTAGGCAGACGCTGGACCTTCATACAAAGGCTTGGGTTCAAAGGGATCGCCCTCTTCGGTGATGTCTGCCATCGCAACTGAGAAGATCGAGAAGATATCGGTTTTTGGAGAAGTTGCAGCAGCTGTTGCCAAGGATGGAAATGGGGTTTCAGATTGAGTTTTTTCTAGGAGGAAAGAGGGACGTGATGATTCGAATGTGAAGGAGGAGGGAATCTGATTCTTCCACTGGAGCATGGGCAAAGGATCAAATGCTCTGCTTTGCTGTTCTTCTGCACGACGAAGCGCCCTCTTGCCAGATGTGGAAGGGGTACTGCTTCTGCATCGTTGATGCATGGCATCTCGGAAGACAGCAGATATCTTTTCACGGCAAAGCAAGTCTTCAGCTAGAACCCATTTGTCCGAAGCGTTGTCTCGTTTCACGAAACTACCTTGAGCCCGCACATGTTCAGCGACATCAGAGATAATCAAGGATTTGTCAAGCTTTGTCTTTGACCTGGAATACTCTTCCAGCATCGAGGCAGCAATGTTTCTCAACATTGCATTCCCTGAAGACGAACAAGGCAAGCCAATATGTTAGCTCATGCTATGGAACCAAGTTGACTCGATGCGAAGATGATTTGGGTTGAACATACCTTTGTGGAAGAAGTACTTTTTGCCCTTGCCGATGACAACGTCATAGTCGCCGGGTGTAAAGTTATCGGGAAGTTGGTAGAAGCTCATAGTTGTTGGTGTGTACGGTAGCGGTGTTGCGGTGGTTTGATTGTTGGAAGCTTTTTGGTTTGTTGCGTTCTCAAATTGTGAGCTTTGATGTCTTTGAAGATGGAGCGGCGAAGATTGTCGGTGATTGAGCCAGCCAGGGTGCGAATGACTTAATTCTAAGTCGCACCAGAGTCCTAGCTGGTTTGAGAAACGGAAAGGGAGACCCGCCACTATGATCATTGAATGGAGCCTTCTAGCTAGCCTTCTACAGATTTCTTATAGTTCTTGGAGTACCCACAAAAGCAGACGAACCAGCGAAACTGATTCAGCTCTCTGTGTAATGGTCAGATGGTCAGTACTCGAGAGAACAGTCAGGATTGTTTGCAGTTCGCAACTTTGGCTCTTGGCTGGAGAGCTCTACTAGCTAGCTAGAGTGGAGAGTCAGCCAGTGTGGTCGGTAGTCGGTACCGGTGGCTGGTAGTTATGGACGTACCGTCGGACTCCGAGTGAAGGACTAAAAAAAAGCTAAAACAACTGTCGACTGCTAGTTCTCCTCGTCGCTACTAGATCTATCGCTATTAAATAAATGGTATGTCGCTTTGGATACTAGGTCAGAAATCTGAGATGCGGGCTTCTTGCTGAAGCTACGATGAATGCGTACAATGGACAAATATTTCACAAATGCTTTCTGTGTCGGGGCAGGGCACTCACGGGCCTCATATTGTTTGAAACAGACACCGCGCGTTCCGAAGACCATAGTGGACGCTCCAGTGTTCTGGCTGGTTCATTAAAATTAAATTTATTTGTCGTCTCTATAGGCTTTTGGGGCGTGGCGGAGTGGGGGACCAGCCAGGAGCTACTACTGGCTAGCCAGGAAGGCGACCCAACGAAGGGTCCATGGATACTAGCTAGTCTAGTAAGCAAGTCTTTGAACAGGTCAGGTTCAGGTAGTCTACACATACATTGTCATAGTCGCGAGTATATATGTCTCGCTTGTAACAAATAATACCCAGTTTGAACGGCGACATGAAGAATGAACATGATGACGACGACGAACTGGGTTGCGTGTCTCTGGAGTCCGAGCGACTCGGCTCGATTCTAGGTGCAAGGCCTCAGTTAAAGTTGGCTCTTCGGCACCAATCCCAGCGCCAAAGCACGGTATGCATAGTCGTCAGTTCGTAACCACGAAGAAGGCCAACAGTTTGTAACCTAAGTGTATCGGTTGCCCTGGGATGGGGGGCGCCTCACCCGAAGCGTCCAAACAGGCGTTTCTCGGGGAACATAGATAGATTTCAAAGTGAATGGAATGATGAATCCCCCGCTGATGCCCGCGAAAAAACAACCAGAGAAGATTGATTTCGAGAGGACAGCTAGGCCTGCCTCTTACAGTGACATGCTGGGATCAAGAAGAGTCAAGTAAAGATGGACATAGGAAACATTGGCTAATCATCAAACCTGATCTTTGTTTATTTCTACCATGATTCCGCCAGCTCGTATGAACATCCAGTCAGACTGAACCGGAATACAAACGATCGCTTGCTTGCCTGTTAGTCATTCGCGACCAGACCTAGCCGACGAGTCACACATCAATTTTAAAAGTGTCCAGTTAGTTGATATCCAAGAGACTGGAAAACCAGAGTTTGGTCGTACACCAGCTCAGTAGAAACACCAGCAAGCAAGAGATTGGAAGATCTGGCCACTCTAGGTTGATGGCCTCAACAGCAGTACCTCCCCTTCCACGGTCGCAGCCACCAGTTCATGTTGCACAGCAACTGATCCAATATCGGCATGTTGGCAATCCTCTGGAAGTCCGCCTCGACTAAACACTGCAGATCTGACTGTCCTTCTGATTCCACTGGCGGAATGAGGCACGCTAGTGTCGACGGGTTGGGCCTGAAACTGAAACATGGACAAGGCGTGGCTGTCTTGTCCGCCTGTCAGAATGAAACGGCCACTTTTGGAGCTCTGGTACAGCTTGGGGTGATGAATGCGCTTGCATCGACGTGTCGAAGTTGGGACATGACCGAAATATTCATAGACTGGCATGGGCTGGGCCCCCTTGTCCTGTTTCAAAAGACGCAGATCCCAGGCTTGAATCACTGAATCGAGCCCTGCTGTCAGCAGGAGTGATGATGGGCTACTATCCTCCCACACGACCGAATGCGGACGCCCCTGGTGCAGACTCTCCAACAAGAACACCGGAGAGGAGTCTCCCCCTTTCATTCTATCATCCAGAATCGATACGCATCCATCATCTGATGCCGTCGCCAACACATGTTCGTCTCGGAACTTGACAGCCCCCACCTTGGCTCTGTGCACGTACGATCTCCAAAATGGTTCAGGTCGGCCAGCATCCTCCCTGAGGCGTGACACAGCTACCGTCTTGTCTTTGGACCCTGTCGCAACCTTTGCATCTATGCCGCTGGAAGCCCCAATATCCATGGCAAAGATACCGCTGGAATGCAAGGTTTTATCACTTTGAAGCACCAACTTTGGGGACCCCGTTTCGGTCGACACCTGTCGCAAATCCCATAAGCAGACCGTACCGTCATTTGCTGCCGTCGCCAGGCGCGAAGGGGCAGCACCATCGGAGGTGCCATTATTGTTGGTGGAAAGGAATTGAGCTTCGGAAATCCATCGACCACCGTGCGCTTTCCAGGAAAAGATTGGATCCACATGGCGAACCTCCGTTGGTTCGGCATCACGTGGATGCTCACAACAATTCCATAGAGCAACGATGCCAGCTTTTCCTGCACCAACGATCCAGTTTGTATCCTCCCAAAAGTTGAGGGAATAGATTGCGGATAGTCCTTGGGGCGGGGCGAGGCGTTGACCAGTAGGAACCAACGTGGCCGACTCCTGAGCGTCAGTTGAGTTAGTGACGCAAGCTGTTGTCGTTTGATGCAATGTGGGATGTCGTTTGGAAACCTGATGTTGTTCCATTTCGTACTGCACAACAGGTGATACTTCGTAGACCTGCTCGTCCAGTTCTTCTTCCAGGTCTTCTCCCGTACGGGTATCGCTACTATTTTCCAATTGAGTATTATCTGTGCTGGCATCAGTCTCAACTTCAACGCTGGGCTTAGCAAGGCGGGTGGACCGTCGTGTGGATCGCCGTGTTGCAGTCGTCTCAAAGTTAGCAGGCCGTTTGGATGGACGCTTGGATTTTGCTGCTTTGCTTGTCCTTTTGTGGATCATGCCGTCGTTATTACTCTTGGAGAGCAACCCCAGAGCTTCCAGGCGGGCATTGTTTCGCGCAATATTGCGAAGGCGCAACAACTCGTATTCACAGAGTCCTTCGGGATTGTTGTCATTCTTGCCCTTTGGCTTGTCCTCCTTTTCCTCTTCCTTGTCTGACTCCTCTTCGAATTCCTCCTTCTCATCATCATTAACACATTCTTCCTTCGTCTTGGTCTCGGGTCTCTTAGGTGATGTGGCAGTTTCTTTTGTGGAAACTGATTCACTTTCTTTAATTGTCGATAATGAAGCAGTTTTCACTAAAGACAAATCTTCTTTGGTTTCCTCCGGTGATATCGCCTTCTCATCAACACCCCTCGACTGAAAAGAGAAACATTGCATGTCTATGGCCGCCTCTGGGTTGGCACCAGCTGATACAACGGGTCTCGCTTGTTCACTGGCTATTACTGGGACTTTCTCTTGTGCCGATTTCGATCCATCAGAAGGATTTCTGGAGTCTAATCTTCTTCGCTTGTTTCCAACCAAAGGATTGGCACTGCTATCTGTCTTCGGTCTACTAGTACCGGTAGTAGACTTTGCTCGATCGGAAGATGTTACAGTTTTGATCTTCTTGTTCTGTTGTCCCCAGAAGGAAAACAGCGATGGCTGGTTAGGTGCCCTTATGCCTGCCTTTGTCTTCTTTGATTTGGATGGAAGCATCTTGCTCAACTAATGATAATCAAATTCTACAATGCAGGATACCGTACTGGTTGGTACCTGTACATGTACCTCTACTGTCGTCATTGGGCTCCGTCGGATTGAGGATCCGAGTTGGAGGGAAAAGAACCGCCAGAATGCTCTAAAAACAATAAAATAAAAATATTGAAACGTATGCCACAACCAATCTCTCTTTTCAACTACTAGCTAGTAGAGCCAGCTAGAGCTACCAGCCGGTAGCTAGACTAGAAAATATGTAAACCGAATTGGCAGGCAATGGCCTCCAGTGCTAGCAGCTGTGCTACTAGTAGCTAGCCCTGTCAATGGTACCATGCCAGCTGTTTGCAAGTATCAACACCTGGTCCAAGAGACATATGCTGGGTGCGATTCGATTCGATTCAGGAAGGCCCCCTGTTCCAAGAGGAAACTGGTTCTTTTTGGTTGGAATGGGTGAAACCTGGCCTGAGAGGTGCAATGTGAACATCGTTGTGTCGTGTCTAGTACCTACGTCCATGGTACCAACACACACCTACCGGTACCAATCATTGCACTCCAACATCTGGACAAAGTGCAGACCCAGTCAATACCAGGACCTATCCCTGGCTCCGCATCAGGATCTATAACACCTGGCCCTACTCCACCTGAAGAACCAAAACTTCAAGACAAACAACCCTGCCCTGATACTGGGCCCAATCCTGAGCCTACGCCAAAACCAACACCAGGACACGCTTCAAGACAGGCTCCAGCCCTACAACCAGCCCTACAACCATCCCAAGTCGTGCCCCTACACCAGGATCCAAATCAAGGCCCACACCTGGAGTTGGTCCAGGTTCAGCACCCCTCCCTACAGGGACACCTGTCCCAAATCCTGAGTCTACCGTACGCTGAAATCCTAATCCAGACCAATCTCAAGAGCAAAACTAGGGTATACGTTACACCCAGTTCAAGTCCCCCATGGCTTTATTCCAGGAGGGCCCACATAGGGATGATTATCTGGTATGTTGGGCAAACCAAACAGAATCGAATCCAAGAGGGAAGCAAGTACGTTCCAAGTGCACATGCTTACAAGGGGGCATTGAGCCAGAGGTTGTCCTACATGTGCAGAGCTTTCTAGCCAACGTCAACTGTGGCTGGAACCGGCAGTTGTGCTGCCTTTTCAATTGAGTTTTGAAATTGCGCACAGGCAAGAATGTGCCAGATCAGCACCTGTTGCAAGTCGAGGACCAACAATTGACCCAATGACCACCAGGCCCCAGTAACATCATGAGTGATCCCACTTCACCGATACCAGGAGCAATGCGTGTACTGCCATACTGCCAAAGCCCGCGACAAACCCAGCGTGGAATGAGCACCTGGCCTCCACAAAATGCGCAACTTACGTTTCGTCGCTCAGCGACTGGGAACGTCCATCACACCCACATCAGCAGACCCAATTCATGGAGTCAGGACCTGGGTTTGGCTCGCAGACGGAAGCCAACTGGCCTTGGCCCTACTCCAGCAGGGACACCTGGTCCCAATATGTGGCCTTCGGGTACCGACACCTGGCCTTACTCCATGTCCAGCCCGCAACATCATCGGGATCAAAGTACCCTTGGGCCTTGGACCAAGAACACCTCACCTGCTTGCAAAACAAAAACCAAGATGAAATTGTTGCTTTCCAAGTCAACTGGATGCTTGGAATGGCCGTATTGAGCCAGAGGTGCATAGGGCATGGAGATTTGTGCAAAGCATCTCACCCATGTTGAACTACGATCGGAATATTGTGAGATTAGACTTAAAACTAGCGTTAAAGCGCCACGTCATAGACGTGCGTATGTCACTCTCCTCCACTGTGAGGCAACAATAGGCGCCGAGCCTCAGTAACATTATCAGTAACATTTAGAAAATGAATCAGGGGAACCTCAATAACCCGTACCGGTGGCAACCGGAGGTACTGGATGCTTTGGAAACACGCGCCGAATGTTCAGCGCTCAAACTGATGAGCACTGAGTTGAATCGTTACGTTGCCGTTGGTATGAACGCGGGAAACACGATAGGGACCAGAAGCCGTAGGCTTCAACTTATCACTGAGACCGAGATACGCACGCTTGTAGACCAGGTCATCGACTGCGTAGTCATAGGAAATGCGTTTCGCATTGGCCCATAGCAAACGTTTGTCAACCAAGGATTGACGGTGTCGTTGCACGGCAAGATGTCTGCATAAATAGGAATGTCAAGAAACATATCTCGTTTGAAGGCAAGAGCACCAGGAGTGAGATACGCGTTCGTACTCTGCACGGAACAACGATGAGCATGCATCGCTGTCGCCAAGGTTTCGGAAATACCTTGATCCCATCAGCAACACTCTTGGATCGCGCGAAACCACAATAGTACGCAATACTTGACCAATTGCCTGATGAGTTCGTTCAATCATCGAGTTACCTTGTGGATTACGAGGGGTCGAGTAGCGATGCACAGCACCATTCTTTTTAACCATCTCAATGAACTCCAGTTTGAACTCAGGACCATTGTCCGTGACACTTTCTTAGGTCGGGGATACCGAGCAAACCATGTATCTTCGACCACTCGAGCACTTCTTCCGACGTTCGTCGCATAATAGGCACAATCTCTAACAAGTTTGTGCAAGGATCCACCATAGTCATAGCATTGAAAGTCAATGTCCGTTGTCGTAACTCAATCGTCCACGGACCGATTGTGTCACAATGGACTTCTTGCCAGGGCATCGCCGTAGCATCACGTGGGAGCAGATTCTCCATAAGCACGTCGTGCTCGCTTGTTCTTGCACATGCTTCGCACTGCTCAATTTGTTTTCGGACTTCGTCGCGAATACCTCTATGGTAGAGTGTGTCTTGATCGTTTGTTCTAAACGATCCATCCTTCGACATGTGCCATGGATTTGTGATAGAAGCTGACCAACTTGGGAAGCAACTCTTTTGTTAGGACAATCTTGTCCTCGTCATTCTGACGAAAGCATATCAGCTCACTGTTTCCAAACATCTTTTGAAAAACCGTTCCGGGTTGTCAACACGGTCTGTTGCAAAACTGCACTGTTCGCTTGGTACTCGGCGAGAACCGAGAAATTGAAAGGATTCCTTCCTTCGCCGTCGAATGTAGGATGCTCCAGGAAAGATTCTTCCATACCATCGTCTGGATGATGCATCAAACATTCAGCCAACCTCTGATTCTCCTCCACAATGGAATAGCAGCCATCGGTAGATGTGGAGAGGGGATCGGAATCGGCAGTGTCACGATCTTCGCGAGAAGTGGGCACCCGGCTGAGGGCGTCGCCAAGGACGTTCTGGGGTCCCGGCTTGTAATGGAAGTTTGGTCCAAACTCTTCCAATAGCAATCGCCATCGCATAACACGCTGAGTTTGAAAAGCGGAAAGTTTGTGAGTAAGGTTCTTATGATCAGTAAACACATTGATACGAGCTCCGAGTAACATAGACCGAAACTCTTTGAAATTTCAACAATGGAGAGCAGTTCCTTTTCAATTGTAGTATAGTTCTTTTGGCGGAGTTGAGTTTGCGGAGTAGTAAGCCACAATCCGTCCATTTTGTTTGATAGCTCCACCGAGCTGGTAATCACTAGCGTCCGTATCGATCTCGAAAGGAACGTTGTGATCCGGATATGCCAGCAGAGTGTCTGCTGCCGCCACAGCTTTCATGGCTTTGAAAGCTTTTTCTTGTTCGTCGGTCCACTCAAACTTCTTGGTACCAATCAGCTTTGTCAAAGGTGCCAAGGTGTGAGAACGACGAGGCCACATATCGCGGTAATAGGTCACCAAACCAAGGAACGAACGCAGTTGTTTGATATCCGTGGGAGCCTTCATGTCCAGGATTGCGCGCACTTTCTTCGCCATAGGCTTAACCCCGACAGGAGTCAACCAATGTCCCAGAAAATCGGTTTCTTGTACGGCCCATTCACATTTCAACGGATTGATTGTGAATCCAGCTTCTTGTAGAATCTTGAGGACTTGATCGAGCTTGTCGAGATGAGAACGCCAATCGGAGCTGAAGATCCCAATGTCATCGATGTAAACTTCGATGTCGTCAAGAGCTTTGAGTAACTTTTCCATGATTTCTTGAGCGATATCCGGAGATTGAGAAACGCCCATAGGTAGTCGTCTGTACTTGTACAATCCAAACGGGGTAGCAATGGTACACAATTCGGAACTGAAATCGTCAAGTTCAAACGTGTAATACTGCATCGAGATATCCAATTTGGTAAGGAATGCATAGTTCTTGCGTCGAGCTAAGATATCCGCAATGCGAGGAATTGGGTAAACCTTGCGTTTGATTGCCTTGTTGAGACCACGAAATCAGAGATCCACCTGACTCACCTCCTTCTTCGGAATGATGAAAGTCTCCAGCATCCACTCGGAACGACTGCCTTCCTCAAGAACGCCAAGTGAAACCAAATGATCCAATTCTTTCTTGAAGATAGTTTGTTGGTGATGAGGAACAGATAGTGTCGGCTTCGATGGCCGGAACTGTAGATCAATCTCCAAACTAATCTGTCGCCCGTGTATTTGCCAAAGTTAGGACTGAAGGGTATCATATTTCTAAGGACAACACGAAGGTCATTTGTTTGTTCTAGAAGATGATATACAGGACCGAACCTGGTTCTAGGTAATATCGGCCCCTTCAACGATTCGGGATGTTTTGTGTCTTTGTAACCAGTTGCTGCCCGTTCTTTCTTCACAGTTGCGAACATGAAGCTACTTTTTCGATTTCGTGGGAGGCATGTCGTCCAAATCGTCATCCAAGTCGTCTTCAAAACAATCGGTAGAAGCTCCTAGCAGGTAGGCAGAGTATCGTCTCTCGAGATCTGCTTCGAGGGGTCAAGGAACATCGAAGTAGCAGGAGGAGTCTTCTTGTCAATAGAGACGTAGGAAAGGGTCTCATGTCAATGCTGACCTCTTCCCATGTCATCTTGTGTCCCTTGAAATCAATCTTCAATCCCATCTCAAGGAGGATGTCGCGTCCAATGATCATGTCATATCGAACATTGCTCGCAGAAAAGACGCGAGCATGAGCGACATCAATGAAGCGGGACTTGTAGAACTCTGGAAAACACAACGGTCTAAGGTAACAACACGGTTCGAGTTGACGTTGCCAGCCAGTGTGGTGGTAGACACCAAGTCACCAATACGAGGGACTGTTCCCTTAGGCAACGCCTTGTCACTAATCCAGGTTCCACTAGAACCAGAGTCCATCAGGACTAATAACGGTCTATCAGACGGTTTATTCTGTATACTATGTAGGACGCAAAGGGCCATCGGCACCAAGTCCTTGTCAACATTGATTCCTTCAGCCGCCGCTGCATAATTCTCAAAGACCCATTTCGAAGGTCAGTAATCACCCCCGTATCCATAGGACTCGTCATAGTCATCGTAACCCCCTGTCATGGAATCAAAGTAATGGGGCTCTTCCTGATAATACGTCTCTTCTTGTTCTTCAGGAGGCGGCATTGCAGCAACCGCAGGAACCTCTGAGGGTTGTTCGTCAACGTGATACACAGCGTCTTCGCGAACATCACCGTCAGCCACCAAATTATCACGGCGAGGACTGTAACCACGTCCACGTCCACGAGGTGATGAGGCAAAGCCACCACGTCCGAAACGTCCGGCAAAGTTGCGCACCGGAGTGTTGTTTGCGTGCTGTCCTCTGGTTGTCCACGTTGGTATCTCCGAGGAGGACTACGGTTGAACGTCCAGTAGGAGCACGACTCCATCCTCCACGTCGGAAACGCTGGAAGGCGGATAGTAACCAGCTCGAGTCCATCGTCTTGTCCATAGTTACGACGATAGCCAGAAGAGCGTCCACTCCTTCCATGTCCGCGGCCTGAACGACCACGTGAAAACCCGCGACCACCACGGCCACGAGAGCCTTGTGGCGAGCGTTGTATTCTTTTCTTACGGGCAAAGAAACGAACCATCTGCACTGAACCAATTACCGTAATGTCATGAGCGGAATCGGCAAACTTGCTTTCCACTGGGGAACATCATGTTGTAAAACATCATCTTAGAGCAGGAGCACCAAAAGGGTTCGCATTGTTTGCCAGGAAACTTCGCCATAAGTGTTTGATGTACTCCAACTCGAGACCACAAGGTCTTGCAATCGAGCTTGAAGGGCTTTGTCGCAGTCTGCAGATATCGAGTCTGATCAGCGAGATCAGTGTCTTCAACGAACTTCGCAATGAACGAAGTAATACAGGCATCGAAATCAGCAACAGCTGCACCAGGACGCGCTGCTCGAATCACGTTCCACTTGTCTCGAGCAGAGCCTTGAAGACATTTGACAAAGAAGTTAGCCCTCAATGTACCCGTGTCCAAATTCAAGGCTGAGTTGCCGGTCACTTGATCGAACTCCTTGATGACCCGAAGGACGTGTTCCGGTTCTTGTTCGTCTGCCAGTACAATCATGTCATGCTTACGCTTGATGTTGTTACCAGCATGTTGCCAAGAACGGAACAACTCGGTAGTAGCGACCTCGCCAGCATTATACTCAGAGACCAAGGGAATGACCGGATTCTTGCCCGACTGACCAAGCGTCGTCATGGTGAGATAATAAACCTAAAAGTAAATAACAAACAACAAAACTTGCGGCTTTATGGTTAGTAGGAGTCGCAAGTAATGATAATGAAAGAAAAAGGAGTAACTTCGTTTTGAGTTACACCCTTGAGTTACCGTTGTTAATAGAAATCGAGTGACTTTTCGAAATTGTTTGACAATGGCCAAACGCCTAGTATACGGCTGCGTAGGATGTACGCAAGAAGTTTCTTTTGCTTGATGTGCAAATTCCAACCGAACTTGCTTCTGAATTCAGAGTGAACTACGATCGGAATATTGTGAGATTAGACTTAAAACTAGCGTTAAAGCGCCACGTCATAGACGTGCGTATGTCAATGTTCATGCATACCATCACTGCTGAGACCGTTCTTCCTAAAAGTCAACTGATTACCGAGCAAAGGCCTTGGCTCAAGAAAGGACCCATCCAGCCACTGCTGCAATCAACATTTATTTATTTTGCACCAGTGGAAAGGCACCGCTTAAACCTGCGAACGAGAGCAACGACTGTGATGAGCTCTTTTTCTTCTCAAGCAGCTTTCATGGTTGCGTAGACGGTGGATGAAGATAGACACTAGCTGGCAGCAGACTAGTTGCTTGGCTTCCCGTTTCGAACTATTGGCCGGCAAGCCACAACAAAGCAGTCAAGCTAGCTACTAGCAAGCAACCAACTTGATAAGTTTCATTAAGTTCGCAGCAGTCAAATGGCCGACTGGGTTCCGGTACTCGAGTACGGTACTAGTACATTGTAATCAGCCTAACCTTGCTGAAATCCTCACTGTGCATCCAATGGCATCCGAGCCAGTTTCAGCGCACCGGTACCAGCCAATTGTTTCCAACAAAAGTAGACTCGTGACTCTAGCTAGACTAGTTCCGGCCATTTATTTCATACGGTGAAGCAAGCCAGTTTGTCTCTGGAATACCGGTTGATCGATGAAATGGGCAATGCCCGAATCGACCGGATATGTCAAAGAGCTGTCAAAGTCAACCGTACCGGGAGACAGCATCTGCGGCAGCCTTGCGAAAAGGTTATTGAAAGGTTACTCAGTAGATGGTTTCGTTGGAGCGAGGTTGTGGAAGCTGTTGTGGATGAGGCAGCTAAGAAGGGAAAAAATGTGAGATGGTGAAGCTCATGGACCCAGTGTTCGTTCAAACGTTAGGCAAAACAGTTTCGGCAATCGTTCATTAAAGATTTTGAGTACCGTATCACAGCACTATAAAATAGAAGTGTACAAGAATCTACCCAGTTTGGAGAGAAAATTCTCCTTCCAGATTGCCTCTACACTAACTTCCACAGTATCATCTACACGGAAAGGGTGAAATGAGAAGCCACGAATGACCATGTTCAAAAAATAGCACAGGTTCTCCTGAGTATAAGTAATTGTACTAAAAGATCGTCATTGGGATTGTTCATACTCACCTGTTCTCCTGTTGAAATGACTTCTTCGACATTCCACGCATCGAATGATCCAACACGCAAAGTTGCAGCATGTTGCATGCCGATCTCGGCTTGGTTCGTGTGCATGATGAATTCAATCAGGCAAGACCGTCTCCAGTGAGGAAAGACACAAACAAGCCAATCTACAAGTTAGTTAGCATTCCAACATCCCAGTGATTAGTTTCGTTGCTTGCTTGCCTTTGGTGTGGTGATGTCCTTTGCCTCTCACAAAGCAATTTGGGGAAACACAAGCAAGCTATTCAATACATCACAAAGCAACGTCGTCGTCAACATGGACTACTTTTTGAACCTGCCCAACGAACACACAGACATGGACATGGAAATAATGGATACCCCTACAACCCGACGAAACAACCGACACAACTTTAACGATTCCATGTGTTCGCTTCAATTGTCCGATTTGGAGGAAGACTTGGATTTTTCGCGGCACAAAGGAGGCAATGTCGGATCGGTGACGGTCGAAACGGCCAATCCTGGCGGCATGTGGTCCTCCCACAAGAAGCGCAGTTCCACCGCCAACGACGGAGATGCCTGTGCCGCTGCGAGGTCTAATGCGGCATTTCTCCAACGACAATACGAAGCTGCGGAAGGACGACAAGAACGATCGGCACTACAACTACGACCCATCAAACGATCTCGAACCAATGAAAAAATTCCACAAAAGACAAACGGTGCCGTGGCACGTCAACACCGATAACTCTTGTATATACGACAAATAAATAAACCATGCGCACATTATAGTAAATTCCAATTTTTTCGCACTGTCTCCGCATGGTCCCCATAGCTTGCTGGCTAGATAGAGGTGTCAAAACCTTTTGGTAATTCCACTCCACTCTGGCAAGCTTGAACTGGGACGGTTCATGGAGCCCACAATGCGCCACACCATGTCTTTGCTCCAGCCAAAATAGTTTCTACTTGGGTCGTACACAATAATCCATACCTGTACGAAATCATTTCCCAATTGTAATTAAATGGCTGGTCAAACGAAATGTTGGCGTACCTCGGCAAATTTCTACCCTGCCCCTCATCGTTCTCCCCGGATTGCCCCATGTGCGAAACACTAAAGCTCAGACTAGCTAGCTAGACACATAGACGTAATGCAGTTTCACCGATCAGCCCTCGTCAGCGTATCTGTACGGTAATAGCTAGTGGAGCCTGCGCCCTTGTTGCCTACGCGCGGTCATGGGGTCTTTCCTGGGACGTGATCCTTGATGCAATCGTTGGTGTAGGTATAGGGCCTCCAAAAATAATTTGCTTATAGACCCAGAATACCGATCTCCTTAGTTACGAATTCGAACGGCAATGTATCCCCTAGGTAGACCTTGCCTGGAGAGGGTTCAAAGCCCAGAATAGCACCGTCCAAGGCATAGAAACCAGGCTGAACCTTCTTCTGCATAGCCTCGGAATCAGTCATCGCACTCGAAAGCACAAGCACGGGGAAGGGCCAGAAGAAGCTTTGAAGGTAGACCAAGCAATACAAAAAGGCATGGGTCCCCACTTTTCGGATTCGAGCCTCTCTGGGGTCTTCACTGGCTGTAGAGATGGGAGTAGTTTTGTTCTGAACTCTGTTGAAATTGATACTGCCTGCTTTTCATCAAGGTGTTCCGAACCTTGATGAATACCAAGGTTGTACAAGCACAACCCAGAAGAAAGAATACAACAAAGCACGGTGCCGTGAATGCCATGAGCAGAATAAAGATCTCACGGGAAGACCTTTTCACATTCCAGTTCCTCCAAATCCGTGCACCCCCAAGGCCACACCACACCGCATAGATGCAAACATTGTTCATAATCAATCGGTGTGGGGTTGATTGTTTGTGTTACTGCTGCTGCAGACTGAAATGCAAGTGAAAAGATAATGGCCATAGTGTGACCAATAATCTTAAAGTGTGGATAATTCTCACAAAGTCATATTCCCTCCAATTGCGGACCACCACCACCAAGTAATAGTAGATACTCAAGTACGAGTTGTAGCTGCAGCCCATTTGGCTGGCAAGGAAAAAGAAGAGCCCCACTGCTGCTCACGAAGTATGGCTCCCCCACAGCCCCCGGAAGGTTGGGGGAAGAGGGGATCAGCTAGCTAGGGCATGACCAAGAGACTGACGGAAGAAATCCAGTCCGAAAGACTGAGAAAAGCAGCCGTTGCATTAGTTTGGTCTTGAACTCCTTTGACGACGACATGCAGGCGATGGACGATGATCCAATCAGCGACAGTGTGCACGAGACAGCCCCGATCACCAGTAGGGGGGTGTAGCGAGCATCATCCAACATGGGCACTGCTGTATCATTCTCCGACAAGGCCGACATGGCCCTCTGTCGCTCATGTTGTACCGTAGTAAAGCCAAGGCAACTTGGTGCCGGCACAATCGTTGAAGAGGTGCTCCCGGTTGGACCTGTGGTTCGGCGCTGCTGGGGTGATCGTTTGTGGGGGTTGTATGTTGCCTTTGTGATTGACGCTGTGCTAGTGTGTGCGACGTGCGACGCTGGACGGTGGCGGGTGGTTGTGGATTAAAAATAATAATAATATAAGGTCTCATTTTGGGTAACTTGTGGCTACCGGTAGCTAGGTAGCAAAACCGTACTGCGCTGTGGAGCTGCTCTCGGCACAAAGATCCGATCTGTTCGGTTGTCCACCAGATCCATCGACCAGTACCGGTATCCCCACTCAACTACATGTCCAAGGAGTCTATCTATCGGCAATGATCATACCATCGTCGTCTTTGAAATCAATAGGCTGTCAGCACCAGTACCTCCTTCATCATTGGGAAGATGCTGGCTTGTCACGGACGCCAATGGCCTTATCCATGTCTTCCCAGGAGGCGACGACAGCACTGGCGACTTCCTTGGCCCGAGGTGGCGCTGCTGCCGTCGAACTCTTTGCCAAGCACCACGCAACCACCTTGGATCTTG